GGTCGTTTTCGTGGCTATTCCTTTCTCTCCCCCCCCCCAGCCATTGCTGGGGCTTCTAATTCTTCTGCTCTCTTGATTCGGGCTGATGTTCCCTTTGTTCCTTTACTTTTTCCTTCGCCTCTCCATTGTTCTGCTGCTCGTATCTTTGTGGGGAAATGGTACACAGTTTGTTCCATTTATCTCCCCCCGAGTGTCCCGCTCTCTCTTCCTGATTTGAAACACCTCCTAGACTCCTTGCCGGAGCCTGTGCTCCTGCTGGGTGACTTCAATTGTCGTCATTCTCTTTGGGGTGACGTTCTGACGAATACCCGGGGTCGCCTCCTTGAGCCGTTTCTCCTCTCTTCTTCCCTGTCTCTTCTGAATTCTGGTGAGCCCACTCATTTGGACTCTCGAACTCGCACCCTTTCTTGTCTTGATCTTTCTCTCTGCTCTTCTTCTCTTTACTTAGATTTCACATGGCAGGTTCTTGATGACCTCCATGGAAGTGATCATTTCCCCATCCTTGTTTCCTTTTTCTCTTTTCGCCCTTCCCTCTCTTTCCCTAGATGGCAGTTTGCTAAGGCGGACTGGACCCTGTTTTCCCTCAGTGCTACTCTCTCTGACCTCTCCCTTCTGCCCCTCTCTCGCGCTCTCCTCCTTTTTCATGACACTGTCTTCGACGCTGCCCTCCGCTCTATTCCTCGCTCTTCCTCTCGGGGTCCACGGAAGTGCGTTCCCTGGTGGAATGCGGACTGTGCTCGGGCTGTCCGCTGTAAGCGTGCAGCCTGGAAGAAGCACCGCCGTAGGCAGACGACCGATTCTTTTCTTTTCTTTCGGAAAGCGAGTGCGGTGGCCCGTAGGGCCATCCGTACGGCTAAACGTGAATGTTGGGCTTCTTATGTCTCGACAATTACGTCCGAAACCCCTCTGGCCCAGATCTGGAAGCGTATCCGCAAGATAGCGGGTAAGTTCGTTCCCGATGTTTCACCGGTCCTTCACCTCCATGATACTCTTGTGGCGGACCCGTTGCAGGTCGCTTCCGAACTGGGTTCCCACTTTTCTTCTGTTAGCTCTGGTCTTCATCTTCCCCAATCTTTCCTTCTTCGTAAACCTGTCCTTGAGTCTCGTCCTTTAGATTTCTGCACTCATCTTCAGCTTCCCTATAATGATCCCTTCTCTCTCTCTGAACTTCGTTCTGCCCTGGCCCTCTGCGGTTCTACGGCGGCGGGCTCCGATGGTATTCATTATGAGATGCTTCGCCATCTCCCTCCGAGCACGTCTCAGTATTTACTGAGTCTGTATAATCGGATCTGGGAGTCGTCGTCAGTCCCTGAGGACTGGCTCGATGCCGTTGTCCTCCCTGTTCGCAAACCAGGGTCTCTGGGTACTTCCCCTAAGGACTTTCGCCCTATTGCTCTCACAAGTTGTGTCTGCAAACTCTTTGAACGTATGGTTAACGTTCGTCTGATGTGGTTCCTGGAACACCATCACCTCCTCTCCCCTTCTCAATTTGGTTTCCGCAAGTGCCGCAGCACGACAGATGTCCTGGTGAACTTGGAGGTCTATATACGTACTGCTTTTGCTGCGAAGACCTCCGTTGTTGCCGTCCTTTTTGACCTAGAAAAGGCTTACGACACCACTTGGCGTTATCATATCCTATCTCAACTTCATTCTTTTGGCCTTCGTGGTCATCTCCCTCTCTTTCTCCGCAGCTTCCTCTCTCGTCGTTCCTTTCGGGTGCGCCTTGGTACCGCTCTCTCTCCCCCTTTTCAGCAATACGAAGGTGTGCCCCAGGGTAGTGTTCTGAGCACTACTCTTTTTCTGGTTGCCCTCAATGGTCTTCTTTCCTCTCTTCCTTCTGGTGTCTTCTCCGCTCTCTATGTCGATGATCTTACCCTTTGTTGTCAGGGTGATGATTCGCCTCTCCTTCAACGCCGGCTTCAACTTGCGATTGATGCCGTGTCGTCTTGGGCCACAGGTCATGGCTTCAAGTTCTCTACTTCTAAGACTTGTGCCATGACTTTTACGCGGAAACGGGTTGTTCTTCGTCCCTCTTTGTCACTTTATGGTCATCCCCTTGAATACAAAGATTCCGCGAAGCTTTTGGGGTTATTCCTTGACACTCGTTTGTCTTGGTCTCCCCATATCTCTTACCTCCGTGTTGAGTGCTCTAAGTCCCTTACCCTCCTTCGGGTCTTGTCCCATACTTCTTGGGGGGCAGATAGGCGCACTCTCCTTGCTTTACATTCCTCTCTCGTCCTGTCTAAGCTCGATTATGGTTGCCCTGCTTACTCGTCTGCTTCTCCTTCTACTCTTCGCCGTCTTGATGCTTTGCACCATACTGGGTTGCGCCTCAGTTCTGGTGCCTTTCGTTCGACTCCCGTCCTTAGCTTGTATGTTGACACTGGCTTCCTGTCTCTCCAGGACCGCCGTGATCGCTACTGTCTTCGGTATCTTGCGCGGTCCTTGCAACATCCTTCCTCTCGTCTCTGTCGTGCTTTAACTTTTACCCCTCCTGCGGTTCCTGTTCCTCTTCACCACCTCCCTCTTTCTGTCCGGTTATCTCGCCTGCAGGATTCTCTTTCCGTTCGTATTTCTGATGTTTCTCCTCGTGTTGTTCCTTCTTTGCCCCCGTGGAGGGTCCCTCTTCCGCGGTTTTGTACATCCTTGACTCGCATCACTAAAGCTTTTACCCCTCCTACAGTTCTCAAACGCCTTTTCCTCGAGCACTTTTCTTCTCACTCCCGCTCCGTTTCTGTCTTCACCGATGGGTCTAAGTCAGCGGACGGTGTTGGCTACTCTGTTGTTTTTCCTGATCGCACTTATATGTGTCGCTTGCCTCCGGAGACTAGCATCTTTACAGCGGAACTTTATGCTATTCTCTATGCTCTTCGTCTCCTGCTTTCTCGTTGTCAGTCTTCCTTTGTGGTTGTTGTTGACTCTCGTAGTGCCCTCATGGCTCTCGGGTGCTTTAATCCAGTTCATCCGGTAGTTGTCGAGATCCAGCATTGGCTGTTTCTCGTTCACAGTAAATTTAAGTCGGTTGAGTTTTGTTGGGTTCCCAGCCATATTGGCGTGTCTTTAAATGAGCGTGCGGATGCTGCCGCTAAGGAAGCTGTCCGCTCTTGTCCCATCTCTCGTAAAGGCATTCCGTATTCCGACTTTTACCCGGTTATCCATTCCTCAGTCCTTACCCGTTGGCAGGCTTCTTGGTTGTCTGTTACTGGTAACAAGCTACGTACTCTTAAATGTTGTGTTTCCTCGTGGCCGTCCTCCTTCCACCGTAACCGGCGGTGGGAAACAGCTCTAGCGAGGTTGCGTATTGGCCATACTCGCTTAACCCATGGTCACTTGATGGAGCGCCGCCCTGCTCCTTATTGTCCTAGTTGCATTGTCCCTCTTACGGTCGTGCATGTCCTTCTTGAATGTCCTGACTTCCAGGACGAGCGTGTGTCTTGCTTTCCGACCGCCCCTCGCGGTCACCTGTCCCTCGATAGAATTCTTGGTGACTCGGATACTTTTGATATCGTTCGCCTTATGCGTTTTTGTTCTCGTATTGGCATCCTTGGTGATATTTAGCGCCCTCTGATTATTTTGCGTATTTGATGGTGCTACATAGCCTTCCCGGTTTGGTGCCTTCTTTTGATAATTACTTACTTACTTACTTATGATAAAGCAACCCTTTTCTCTATGTATGAGGTCAATTTTTTTTTATTGGAGTTAAAATTAACGTAGATATATGACCGAACCTAACCAACCCTACCTAACCTAACCTAACCTATATTTACAGGTAAGGTTAGGTTAGGTAGCCAAAAAAGCTAGGTTAGGTTAGGTTAGGTAGGTTAGGTAGACGAAAAAACATTAATTCATGAAAACTTGGCTTATTAGGCAAATCGGGCCTTGAATAGTAGGCTGAGAAGTGCGTTCTGGCTATTAGGTACGACATATATATATATATATATATATATATATATATATATATATATATATATATATATATATATATATATATATATATAATTTAATATGATTTACTCTCCCACCAGTCTGAAAATTTGCATATTTTAGTTAAAGCAACTTAGCGCATTATTAATTACAATTCGTGAGTGCTAGTAAGCACCTCCCCACTAAGCTATGCTTAGAGGGAGGAGTGAGAGACCCGGGCGCAGCCGGGTAGTCCCCTATAGTTAGCTATAATTGGAAGTATATAAAACCTGTTAGCTTTATATTTAAGAATTCATACTGATCTCTGCTATATGTATATGTACTAAATATTTAATATATGTTTCACAAGATGCTCATTCACTTTGTCCAAGACTGGACAAAGTGAAAGACATGAATAGACAGTCAGTGACATACCGACAAAAGGGTGATGAGAGGGGAGGAGGAGAAATAGACAGACAGTCATACAGAGAGAGACAGGCCGGCAGGCAGAAAAACAGAGAGGGATCTGTGGTGGCCAGGTGTACTGGACACCTTTGGGTATCCCACCTAGTCTATATTTGTAAATTAAAATGTCTGGATTATCTGTTCCAAGTTGGAGGACAGCCACTAGGAGATAACTTCATCCAATTTTTTTCCCAGTAATTGCTGTTGGGTACGTGCCTAACATGGATGGATCTGGATTGGCATTAAAGAAGAGTGCCAGGTGACAATGTGTCAATATCACCCCACCCAAATCTTGCAATATAATATAACTAGACTTATTATTATTATTTATTACTTATTATTTCATAGTAGTAGTAGTAGTAGTAGTATTTTTTATCATACCAAAAATTGTATGCACTGATCATGCCAAAATAAAGAAAAGCATCTAGTCACAATAATTAACCTTTAATTAAACTAACAAATAATTGAATATTTTTTGCCTGTCGACTTTATGGATTGTGTTGTTGAAGCAAATGTATGTGAAGAGTTGTTGTTGTGTGATTAGTGTTGTAGGGAATGGAGCGCATATATAGGTCTGTGTGACTGCGTGGAGTGTTGTGTAGTAACGGTGACATTCTGGTGGTGTGGCCTAGGTGCACGGAGGGCATGGTGAGCTGCAGGGAGCAGCCGTGCCCACCCTACGCCTGCCCGTCCCCTCGTCTGGTGGAGTGCTGCCTCCAGTGTGACGGTGAGGGCCCCCTCCCTACTGACCACTTCTCTCTAGGGGGGCTGAGGGCCCCCTCCCTACTGACCACTTCTCTCTAGGGGGGCTGAGGGCCCCCTCCCTACTGACCACTTCTCTCTAGGGGGGCTGAGGGCCCCCTCCCTACTGACCACTTCTCTCTAGGGGGGCTGAGGGCCCCCTCCCTACTGACCACTTCTCTCTAGGGGGGCTGAGGGCCCCCTCCCTACGGACCACTTCTCTCTAGGGGGCTGAGGGCCCCCTCCCTACGGACCACTTCTCTCTAGGGGGCTGAGGGCCCCCTCCCTACTGACCACTTCTCTCTAGGGGGGCTGAGGGCCCCCTCCCTACTGACCACTTCTCTCTAGGGGGGCTGAGGGCCCCCTCCCTACTGACCACTTCTCTCTAGGGGGGCTGAGGGCCCCCTCCCTACTGACCACTTCTCTCTAGGGGGAGTGAGGGCCCCCCTCCCTCCTGATCACTTCTCTCTAGGGGGAGTGAGGGCCCCCTCCCTACTAACCACTTCTCTCTAGGGGGAGTGAGGGCCCCCCTCCCTCCTGATCACTTCTCTCTAGGGGGAGTGAGGGCCCCCTCCCTACTAACCACTTCTCTCTAGGGGGAGTGAGGGCCCCCCTCCCTACTGACCACTTCTCTCTAGGGGGGGGGGTGAGGGCCCCCTCCCTACTGACCACTTCTCTCTAGGGGGGCTGAGGGCCCCCTCCCTACTGACCACTTCTCTCTAGGGGGGCTGAGGGCCCCCTTCCTACTGACCACTTCTCTCTAGGGGGGCTGAGGGCCCCCTCCCTACTGACCACTTCTCTCTAGGGGGGGCTGAGGGCCCCCTCCCTACTGACCACTTCTCTCTAGGGGGAGTGAGGGCCCCCCTCCCTACTGACCACTTCTCTCTAGGGGGGCTGAGGGCCCCCCTCCCTACTGACCACTTCTCTCTAGGGGGGCTGAGGGCCCCCTCCCTACTGACCACTTCTCTCTAGGGGGGCTGAGGGCCCCCTCCCTACGGACCACTTCTCTCTAGGGGGGCTGAGGGCCCCCTCCCTACTGACCACTTCTCTCTAGGGGGCTGAGGGCCCCCTCCCTACTGACCACTTCTCTCTAGGGGGGCTGAGGGCCCCCTCCCTACTGACCACTTCTCTCTAGGGGGGCTGAGGGCCCCCTCCCTACTGACCACTTCTCTCTAGGGGAGTGAGGGCCCCCCTCCCTCCTGATCACTTCTCTCTAGGGGGAGTGAGGGCCCCCTCCCTACTAACCACTTCTCTCTAGGGGGAGTGAGGGCCCCCCTCCCTCCTGATCACTTCTCTCTAGGGGGAGTGAGGGCCCCCTCCCTACTAACCACTTCTCTCTAGGGGGAGTGAGGGCCCCCCTCCCTACTGACCACTTCTCTCTAGGGGGGGGCTGAGGGCCCCCTTCCTACTGACCACTTCTCTCTAGGGGGGCTGAGGGCCCCCTCCCAACTGACCACTTCTCTCTAGAGGGGGCTGAGGGCCCCCTCCCTACTGACCACTTCTCTCTAGGGGAGCTGAGGGCCCCCTCCCTACTGACCACTACTCTCTAGGGGGGAGGGGTCTTCTAATTGTTGTTGTTATTAAGTATTGGGTTTAAACTATTTTTTTATTTATATAAGAATGTTGTATCCAGCTCTCGGTCTTCAGACTACCCTGAGAGAAGGTTTTCACTCCATCCTCTTGAAATTATAGTGGGTATTTAGTGGAAAGTACCATTCTGTAGTGATGCTCCGCCAGTAAACCAGTTTTGTACTATAAATTTAATAGTCTGAAAAAATAAATCAAGAAACTTAAATATTCCTAGGCCTAGTATATCACACATTAAGCCAATGATAGCGTGTATTAGTTCTAGGATTGCAAGGAGAGGATACGTTAAGTCATATATTTATATGGAGGTTAAAAGTTTCCGGTTTGTCCAAATTCAATAATACTTTGACTTTGTGGTGGTCCATCACTGCATATTGGTACCTCCCACCAAGCAGTTACTACAAGTACTTCATTTTAGTAAAGATGGGCTCAAGATTTTTTATCGTCTCATCCTGCCTCATAAATCCCCCCCCCCCTCCCCCACCTCCTTGCTTACCAGCTCTGTAGTCATCCTATCCCACCTCTTCGCGAAATTTTTTATCTTGAACATTTAGGTAAAAATTTCTTAAAATTGTATTAAAATATTAGAATAAGTTATTTGAACTGTTTTGACTTATTATCCATAATATAACACACTATATGATAAAAGTTATTAAACTAAGGGACCTTCTCTGGGCCGCTGTGGGGACCAGGCTGTAGCTACGCCGGCAGGAGTTTGGACAACCATGCGGTGTTCCCTGATCCCCTGGACCCCTGCCGCTCCTGCAGGTGTGACGAGGGCACGGTCAGCTGCGTCCCTGTCGCCTGCCCACCAGCCTACTGCTCCCGTCCCGTCACCCCCGTCGGCGCCTGCTGCCCCATCTGCAGAGGTAGGTCAGGCACGGACGTGGCTTCTGCTCCTGCTGGCACTTCACCAACCATTTCTGGGGTTATTTTTGCACTATTTCCCTTCAATAGAACCGACTATTTTTTATAGCAACTCCATATAAAGCTTGACACTAGAAATCCACAGAGGTAATGTTTCTGCCTCACTGCTGAGGGGAGTTACATTCCTGCCTCACTACTGAGGGGAGTTACATTCCTGCCTCACTACTGAGGGGAGTTACATTCCTGCCTCACTACTGAGGGGAATTCCCGAATTTTAAGAAATTCTGGAAAAGTCTTCTGTTATCCGTTAATTCACACTAACGATGAAAACCATCACCACCATTGTTTAGCGTTGTTACGTTGTCTTGTTTATTGAGAACATCACAGTAGTAAGGGAACTTTAACTCTGTCTTTATACCTAGTTTGTGGTATGGTGTAGTATAGTACCTAGTCTGTACTGTGTGTGGGTATGGATTAGCATCGTACCTAGTTTGTGTATTGTGTGGGGATATGGTGTTTCATAGTATCTGGTCTGTGTATTGTGTGAAGATATGTTGGAGCATAGTACCTAGTTTGTGTTGGGAGAAATTGTCTAATTATAGAAAAGATTAAAAGCAAAACCTCATTTAACATATTGTTTATATAAGTGCTTCTTTAAGAGAAAAAGCCTCAATTTACAACATGTATAACGACCAGCACATAAAGTCACCGACAAGGATTAAAGCCACAAAGTAATCTGCTTGATGTTGTCTTCTCAGAATGCGAGTACGACGAGCATGTCTACCTGGAGGGCGAGGTGTTCGAGGCGTCGTACGACGCATGCACTGAGTGTCGCTGTGACTACCCGGAGGTGACGTGCTACCCGCATGTGTGCGCCCCGGCTCACTGCGCCTACCCGGCCCTCGACGCCCGCGGCTGCTGCGCCCTGTGTAAGGACTGCGAGTTTGAGGGGCAGACGTACCACAGCGGCCAGCACTTCCCGGATCCCAGCGACCCGTGTTCCCAGTGCTCCTGCAGGGTTTGTTGATACACGTTTCTTGCAAGCATACTAATCTTATGATCAGGGCCGTCTTAGCGGTATTGTAGGCCTTGTTCTGAGCAGTGCACTGGGCCCCCTGCCCAGATGATGTCCGGTAAAGTGTAGAATTACCGTCAGATAGTTGTACACAAATTGTTTATTCTACAAATATAATTTAAAATGGGATTTGAATCCCAAGCCTTTCCAGCGAGAGGTCGAGTAATTATGAATTCTGCAAAGAGATCTTTCATGAACAATATGGCAGCATGGGGCCTCTAAAATGGTTGGGCCCCCGGGAAACTGCCCAGTGTGCCCATGTGTTAAGACGGTACTGCATGTGAGCTGGTATAAGTAAAAGTGTAATATTATAATATGTTGTTTTATCATTGACGGGATGTGTTGGTGTGGCAGATGGGAGAGGTTCAGTGTACACAGCTGCCGTGTGGTCGTCCTGCCTGCCCCTACCCTGTGCCTGGCCGCTGCTGCCCTCAGTGTACCTCAGGGTGCCAGTATAACGGTGAAAACATCCCAGACGGTGGCATGTTTCCCAGCAGCATGGCAACATGTCAGGAATGCGTGTGTCATGGTGGGCACGTCACCTGCATGCCCAAGACCTGCCCGCTGGTCGCCTGTACCCACCCTGCTGCTACTGACTGCTGCGCACAATGCCACGGTACGAACACAGCTTCTCAGTCGTGAATCTGACCAACGTCTATTTATCATTTGTTTAATTGAAAATATATTTTGTAGTTAGCCCGTCACTAATCAGATTTCTTGTCCGAAGATTGTTACTTCGAGGATCGTGAGATCGAGAATGGTCTGGTGTTTGCCCACCCGAGGAGCCCGTGTCAGAAGTGCCAGTGCCTGAGTGGCTCCGTGACCTGCAGCCCCATCCAGGTGAGCTCTGCCGCCACACCTGCACGAACTCACATGTGTAAAGAAACATCTGAAACATAACTCTGCTATAAGAGACTAAAACAGGTATCTCTTAAGTGATTATAATAATTTATTAATATAATTCATTGTGTCAGGGGACAGGCAACCAGTGTATATGTACATGTTAGGCTTATATCGAGGTCCCGCCCCACGGTCGAATTATTGACCCTCTCCAGGATGCAACCCCGCAAGCAGCTGACTAACTCTCGGGTACCTGTTTACTGCTAGGCAATACAACCACACAATTTTTATTTGTAATTTATTTGTAATAATTTATTTGTAATAAGCAATACAACCCTCTCCATAAATGGTTGACACGTGTTGTTGTTGTTGATGTTGACATGTGTGTTGTTGTTGATGTTGACATGTGTGTTGTTGATGTTGACACGTGTGTTGTTGTTGATGTTGACATGTGTGTTGTTGTTGATGTTGACATGTGTGTTGTTGATGTTGACATGTGTGTTGTTGTTGATGTTGACATGTGTGTTGTTGTTGACATGTGTGTTGTTGATGTTGACATGTGTGTTGTTGATGTTGACATGTGTGTTGTTGTTGATGTTGACATGTGTGTTGTTGTTGATGTTGACATGTGTGTTGTTGTTGATGTTGACATGTGTGTTGTTGATGTTGACATGTGTGTTGTTGATGTTGACACGTGTGTTGTTGTTGATGTTGACATGTGTGTTGTTGTTGATGTTGACATGTGTGTTGTTGTTGATGTTGACATGTGTGTTGTTGATGTTGACATGTGTGTTGTTGATGTTGACATGTGTGTTGATGTTGACATGTGTGTTGTTGATGTTGACACGTGTTGTTGACATGTGTTGTTGTTGTTGTCATGTGTTGTTGTTGTTGTTGTTGACATGTGTGTTGTTGTTGTTGACGTGTGTTGTTGTTGACATGTGTGTTGTTGTTGACATGTGTGTTGTTGTTGACATGTGTGTTGTTGTTGACATGTGTGTTGTTGTTGACATGTGTGTTGTTGTTGATGTTGACATGTGTGTTGATGTTGACATGTGTTGTTGACATGTGTTGTTGTTGTTATGTGTTGTTGTTGTTGATGTTGACATGTGTGTTGTTGTTGTTATGTGTTGTTGTTGTTGTTATGTGTTGTTGTTGTTGTTGTTGACATGTGTGTTGTTGTTGTTGTCATGTGTTGTTGTTGTTGTTGTTGACATGTGTGTTGTTATTGTTGACATGTGTGTTGTTGTTGTTGACATGTGTGTTGTTGTTGTTGACATGTGTGTTGTTGTTGTTGACATGTGTGTTGTTGTTGTTGACATGTGTGTTGTTATTGTTGACATGTGTGTTGTTGTTGTTGACATGTGTGTTGTTGTTGTTGACATGTGTGTTATTGTTGTTGACATGTGTGTTGTTATTGTTGACATGTGTGTTGTTATTGTTGACATGTGTGTTGTTATTGTTGACATGTGTGTTGTTATTGTTGTCATGTGTTGTTGTTGTTGTTGTTGACATGTGTGTTGTTATTGTTGACATGTGTGTTGTTATTGTTGACATGTGTGTTGTTATTGTTGACATGTGTGTTGTTATTGTTGACATGTGTGTTGTTATTGTTGACATGTGTGTTGTTATTGTTGACATGTGTTGTTGTTGTTGTTGTTGACATGTGTGTTGTTATTGTTGACATGTGTGTTGTTATTGTTGACATGTGTGTTGTTATTGTTGACATGTGTGTTGTTATTGTTGACATGTGTGTTGTTGTTGTTGACATGTGTGTTATTGTTGTTGACATGTGTGTTGTTATTGTTGACATGTGTGTTGTTATTGTTGACATGTGTGTTGTTATTGTTGACATGTGTGTTGTTATTGTTGACATGTGTGTTATTGTTGTTGACATGTGTGTTGTTATTGTTGACATGTGTGTTGTTATTGTTGTCATGTGTTGTTGTTGTTGTTGTTGACATGTGTGTTGTTATTGTTGACATGTGTTGTTGTTGTTGTTGACATGTGTGTTGTTGTTGTTGTTGTTGACATGTGTTGTTGTTGTTGTTGACGTGTGTGTTATTGTTGTTGACATGTGTGTTGTTATTGTTGACATGTGTGTTGTTGTTGTTGTCATGTGTTGTTGTTGTTGTTGTTGACATGTGTGTTGTTGTTGTTGACGTGTGTTGTTGTTGACATGTGTGTTGTTGTTGACGTGTGTTGTTGTTGACATGTGTGTTGTTGTTGTTGACGTGTGTTGTTGTTGACATGAGTGTTGTTGTTGTTGACGTGTGTTGTTGTTGTTGACACATGTGATACTGTGAGGTGACGGTGACACACGTGTTACAGTGCCCATCGGCCAGGTGCACACACCCTCGGGTGGTCAACTGCTGCCCGTCGTGCACGGCGGGGTGCAGGCTGCACCACAACCTCCTGGAGGAGGGCGAGACCTTCGCCTCCCCCACCCACACCTGTCACACCTGCGTCTGTCAGGTAAGCCGCCCCACACCTCCCCCACCCACACCTGTCACACCTGCGTCTGTCAGGTAAGCCGCCCCACACCTCCCCCACCCACACCTGTCACACCTGCGTCTGTCAGGTAAGCCGCCCCACACCTCCCCCACCCACACCTGTCACACCTGCGTCTGTCAGGTAAGCTGCCCCACACCTGCCAGTAATATAAAGTTAAATATATATATTTATATTGTATTGATATATGATGTTTTATTATGTTATATTTTGTATTGTTATATTTATCATATGTCAGCTAGCTATATGATGTAGTTAGTAACGTTAACAAAGTGCAGCTACCTGCAGGTGCTACTTCCATACACACCATATGATGTAGTTAGTAACGTTAACAAAGTGCAGCTACCTGCAGGTGCTACTTCCATACACACCATATGATGTAGTTAGTAACGTTAACAAAGTGCAGCTACCTGCAGGTGCTACTTCCATACACACCATATGATGTAGTTAGTAACGTTAACAAAGTGCAGCTACCTGCAGGTGCTACTTCCATACACACCATATGATGTAGTTAGTAACGTTAACAAAGTGCAGCTACCTGCAGGTGCTACTTCCATACACACCATATGATGTAGTTAGTAACGTTAACAAAGTGCAGCTACCTGCAGGTGCTACTTCCATACACACCATATGATGTAGTTAGTAACGTTAACAAAGTGCAGCTACCTGCAGGTGCTACTTCCATACACACCATATGATGTAGTTAGTAACGTTAACAAAGTGCAGCTACCTGCAGGTGCTACTTCCATACACACCATATGATGTAGTTAGTAACGTTAACAAAGTGCAGCTACCTGCAGGTGCTACTTCCATACACACCATATGATGTAGTTAGTAACGTTAACAAAGTGCAGCTACCTGCAGGTGCTACTTCCATACACACCATATGATGTAGTTAGTAACGTTAACAAAGTGCAGCTACCTGCAGGTGCTACTTCCATACACACCATATGATGTAGTTAGTAACGTTAACAAAGTGCAGCTACCTGCAGGTGCTACTTCCATACACACCATATACACACCATATGATGTGTAGTTAACAAAGTAACGTAGTAACAAAGTGCAGCTACCTGCAGGTGCTACTTCCATACACACCATATGATGTAGTTAGTAACGTTAACAAAGTGCAGCTACCTGCAGGTGCTACTTCCATACACACCATATGATGTAGTTAGTAACGTTAACAAAGTGCAGCTACCTGCAGGTGCTACTTCCATACACACCATATGATGTAGTTAGTAACGTTAACAAAGTGCAGCTACCTGCAGGTGCTACTTCCATACACACCATATGATGTAGTTAGTAACGTTAACAAAGTGCAGCTATGCAGGTGCTACTTCCATACACACCATATGATGTAGTTAGTAACGTTAACAAAGTGCAGCTACCATATGATGTAGTTAGTAACGTTAACAAAGTGCAGCTACCTGCAGGTGCTACTTCCATACACACCATATGATGTAGTTAGTAACGTTAACAAAGTGCAGCTACCTGCAGGTGCTACTTCCATACACACCATATGATGTAGTTAGTAACGTTAACAAAGTGCAGCTACCTGCAGGTGCTACTTCCATACACACCATATGATGTAGTTAGTAACGTTAACAAAGTGCAGCTACCTGCAGGTGCTACTTCCATACACACCATATGATGTAGTTAGTAACGTTAACAAAGTGCAGCTACCTGCAGGTGCTACTTCCATACACACCATATGATGTAGTTAGTAACGTTAACAAAGTGCAGCTACCTGCAGGTGCTACTTCCATACACACCATATGATGTAGTTAGTAACGTTAACAAAGTGCAGCTACCTGCAGGTGCTACTTCCATACACACCATATGATGTAGTTAGTAACGTTAACAAAGTGCAGCTACCTGCAGGTGCTACTTCCATACACACCATATGATGTAGTTAGTAACGTTAACAAAGTGCAGCTACCTGCAGGTGCTACTTCCATACACACCATATGATGTAGTTAGTAACGTTAACAAAGTGCAGCTACCTGCAGGTGCTACTTCCATACACACCATATGATGTAGTTAGTAACGTTAACAAAGTGCAGCTACCTGCAGGTGCTACTTCCATACACACCATATGATGTAGTTAGTAACGTTAACAAAGTGCAGCTACCTGCAGGTGCTACTTCCATACACACCATATGATGTAGTTAGTAACGTTAACAAAGTGCAGCTACCTGCAGGTGCTACTTCCATACACACCATATGATGTAGTTAGTAACGTTAACAAAGTGCAGCTACCTGCAGGTGCTACTTCCATACACACCATATGATGTAGTTAGTAACGTTAACAAAGTGCAGCTACCTGCAGGTGCTACTTCCATACACACCATATGATGTAGTTAGTAACGTTAACAAAGTGCAGCTACCTGCAGGTGCTACTCCATACACACCATATGATGTAGTTAGTAACGTTAACAAAGTGCAGCTACCTGCAGGTGCTACTTCCATACACACCATATGATGTAGTTAGTAACGTTAACAAAGTGCAGCTACCTGCAGGTGCTACTTCCATACACACCATATGATGTAGTTAGTAACGTTAACAAAGTGCAGCTACCTGCAGGTGCTACTTCCATACACACCATATGATGTAGTTAGTAACGTTAACAAAGTGCAGCTACCTGCAGGTGCTACTTCCATACACACCATATGATGTAGTTAGTAACGTTAACAAAGTGCAGCTACCTGCAGGTGCTACTTCCATACACACCATATGATGTAGTTAGTAACGTTAACAAAGTGCAGCTACCTGCAGGTGCTACTTCCATACACACCATATGATGTAGTTAGTAACGTTAACAAAGTGCAGCTACCTGCAGGTGCTACTTCCATACACACCATATGATGTAGTTAGTAACGTTAACAAAGTGCAGCTACCTGCAGGTGCTACTTCCATACACACCATATGATGTAGTTAGTAACGTTAACAAAGTGCAGCTACCTGCAGGTGCTACTTCCATACACACCATATGATGTAGTTAGTAACGCTAACAAAGTGCAGCTACCTGCAGGTGCTACTTCCATACACACCATATGATGTAGTTAGTAACGTTAACAAAGTGCAGCTACCTGCAGGTGCTACTTCCATACACACCATATGATGTAGTTAGTAACGTTAACAAAGTGCAGCTACCTGCAGGTGCTACTTCCATACACACCATATGATGTAGTTAGTAACGTTAACAAAGTGCAGCTACCTGCAGGTGCTACTTCCATACACACCATATGATGTAGTTAGTAACGTTAACAAAGTGCAGCTACCTGCAGGTGCTACTTCCATACACACCATATGATGTAGTTAGTAACGTTAACAAAGTGCAGCTACCTGCAGGTGCTACTTCCAGGTGCTACACACCATATGATGTAGTTAGTAACGTTAACAAAGTGCAGCTACCTGCAGGTGCTACTTCCATACACACCATATGATGTAGTTAGTAACGTTAACAAAGTGCAGCTACCTGCAGGTGCTACTTCCATACACACCATATGATGTAGTTAGTAACGTTAACAAAGTGCAGCTACCTGCAGGTGCTACTTCCATACACACCACCAGATTTGCCCCGGTTACATAAACAAATTTCTAACCAATATAAATGCGGTTTAAACTATATATGGAAACATAAGCTTTTTAATTAAGCATTATCAATATTTTATTATTGCCAAGCATCCTTATGATCCCACAGAGAGGATCTGTAGAGTGCTTCCGCCAGGAGTGTCCAGCCCTGACCTGCCCCTCGCACCAGCAGGAGGAGGCAGGAGAGTGCTGCCCCGCCTGCGTCTCCGGCAGGAACTGTGTACACGCCCACCAGGTCATCCCCCACGACACACACTTCACCGACAACGCCACCTGCAGCAGCTGTCGTTGTGTGGTGGGTCCTGTGGGTCCCCCTCCCGTACTCTCTTCCCCTTGTACTCTCTCTCCCCCCGTCCCTGTACTAAGAACACACTATCCACCATATATATACAGCCAACAAGAATACATATATGCCCTACAGTGTGTTGACTAGTGCTTCCGGTGTTCATTAATGAAAGCTTCTATTTTGTCCGTCTCGTGTGAAATGTTGCAAGTGCGTTTGGCAGCTTTTATTTGTATTTAATTTGCATAATAGCGTTCGCGTTAATTAGAGTAATAGAGAGAAGTGATTTTGCATGTTAAAAATTTTAATGAAAATTAATGCATGGCATTGTTGTTATTTAATTAAATCTTGAGAAATGTCCTGATTGAGTGTTTTAATTAACGTCGACTCTCTCAGGATGGTAACGTCACTTGCGAGCCTGTAGCCTGCCCCAGCCCTGCCTGCAGCCTGCCCAGGCGGGAAGGGGGCGCCTGCTGCCCCACCTGCCCCCCCTGTCACCACCGCGGCGTCCTCCTGCCCCCAGACTACCGTTTCTTTGATCCTGACCAGCCCTGCACTCTCTGCGTCTGCCGGGTAAGTTACTTCACAAATTTTACTTCTATTGCTTATGTACAAAATGAATAAAACTTCCCTTACATTTGCTTTACTTGTCAATGCTTCGTTAGGTTGTCTCAAAAATATATATAATACAGTATAGCTGTAAGAAAATGTTCGAGGATGGAGGCCGGAGGCTTGCTGTAGCCTCGTAAAACATTGCAGGAGTAATTGTGGTCATAGGGAGTGTCATAGGCGGGTCGGGGTCGGCTCAATTCCTCCCTGAAGGGGGAACAGGACCCCAGTACATAAGCATAAAGGAAACTGCAGAAGTCTATTGTTAGGAGCCTTCGAAGCCAGGAGCAAGGGAGGAATCCCGGTCATATATGGCATTCTTCCAGGAAAGGGAGTTTGAAATGGATGGTTGTCAATTGACTTGGTGTCAATTGCCGACTGGACAAATATTGTAAATCAAATGCAATATCATTCATTGATTACTAGAAACACTTCTATGGAAGGAATGACACGTATGCTCGGGATGGGGTTCATTTATCCAAGGCTGAGATAATTGCTGTTGCCAACTCATTGGAACCTGTGGTTGGAGGGGTTTGTTTGGGTTTTAACTGTTAATAGATAGTGGAATGGGAATTGATATGGAGAAAAAGAGGCAATAGAAGTATGTGTTGGTGGGGGAAAATGGCAAAATGAAAAGGGAAGAAGGGCCTCAAAATAACAGAACACTTGAGGTATATTACACAAACAGCAGGAATCTAAGAAACAAAATAGACGATTCAAATTCATTTAAAAGTATAGTTTACAGTCTAGTTTTTAATAATACGATGGAGTAACACAATCTTTTAGATGACTCTCTCAGTAATCACAGTGCTGGATCATACAACCTCAGTAATCACAGTGCTGGATCATACAACCTCAGTAATCACAGTGCTGGATCATTGCAGACGATCTACAACAGGTTCTCAACCATTTGGAGTCTGATTAATCCCTACGCAACACCAATAATACAAGGTTGTTGCCAAATAGTGTACTAAAGTTCCACAGGTGTATATCGTACATAATAATAATAATAATAATAATAATAATAATAATAATAATAATAATAATAATAATAATAATAATATTTTATTCGGGAAAAGTACATACATAGATGCAGAGTTACAAACATAATATTGGATTTATAGATAGAGCTAGTACATACAATATCTAAAGCCACTAATACACACAGCGTGTCGGACATCTAGCAGCTCAGCTGGATAGTAACTCTGTTCATAGGTTAGTCATTCCCAGACATCAGAAAACAGAAGCGCGCCAACAGCTGTAAATCAATAATAGTGCATTCCCAAGTTCAAATCAGAATATCTGCCCAAATGTCGTACTGCAATTCATACATCTGGCAACTCAGCATGCTAGTACCTGTGTTGATAGGTTTGTCATTCTCAAACCACGAAAAGTACACACAAACGCGCCTAAAGCTATAAATGATTAATTATGCAGTGCTGAGTTCAACCAAAACAGCCATCCAAATATCGTACCGCAATTCCTGCATCTGGCAACTCAACTGGGGACTCGTCACTTTTTTCATAAGGTAAACATTTCTGAGCCTCTAAAAGTACACACAAATCCGAATCTTGATCCACAAATTAGCTATCCTGTTTCCAAACCAACAGTCACAAATACATATATATGCATATTCATACAAGACACACATACTTTCATACATACATATATACATACACATACTCTACAGCCCATACAAACTTTGACAATAGCCTGTTTTTACCACCATTACCCCATTTAGTCAGATATAATTTATACCACATTAATACCAAAATGTATTAAGAGCAAGATTTCAGTATCCCAACGGCTCAGTCACCCAAAGTGATCTTTCATTTTTGTTCTATTAATTCATATTGATGCATTTCAACCAGAAAGGTAACCGTATTATTCAAACAATTCCCAATTATTGCTAAATGCGCTATTATATTCAAACTCCAAATATTATATTACATGAATAAATACCCACCTAGTCACTGTTCATATGGATACACCAGGGTGTTCGTCACATTGAAATATTAATTACTATTAATGAAAAGCCGAGTTTATGATGTCACACTAAAATATAATAATTTATCACCATTCACACAAAATCCTACACTTGTATATACACTAAAAATGCACAAAATCAAAACACAGTATAAAACGCACACATTTCCACAAATATTCAATTTACACACAAAAATACAACTTCGAAAATTTACACACAATATATTTACACATAATGTATAATTTACACACAAAATATATCATGAAACACACACACACACAATATGCCATATATACTCAAAATATACCATTTTCACACAAATTCAACATGTATACAAAGTGTAGTATTTGCTCAGTATCACGAATTGCATATACGCTTGCACGAAACAAAATGCATTTTCACAAAGTGAATAGTACCAAATTCTACTATCTAATTGTTTAGTACGTCAATGTTTGTACTATGGTTTGTACATCGTCACAAAAACTACTATCTAAAGAGGAGGATAGGTTGGATTACATGTACCCGTTAATGTGTTCATCACTCAAGTTCTTCCATTGCCTAAGAAATATATATTTTTTTCCAGGATGGAAATGTTAAATGTTTCCCAGAGCCTTGTCCAGCTCTCCAGTGTCCGCGGGGGCAGAACCTGGTTCCCGTGGAGGGGTCCTGCTGCCCCATCTGTGTCTCCTCCAAGTTACAGGTGGAGGAGGCTCCGCTACCCAGCACCCAGGGCACCACTCCCCATCCCAGCACCCAGGGCACCACTCCCCATCCCAGCACTCGGGGCACCACTCCCCATCCCAGCACTCGGGGCACCACTCCCCATCCCAGCACTCGGGGCACCACTCCCCATCCCAGCACTCGGGGCACCACTCCCCATCCCAGCACTCGGGGCACCACTCCCCATCCCAGCACTCGGGGCACCACTCCCCATCCCAGCACTCGGGGCACCACTCCCCATCCCAGCACTCGGGGCACCACTCCCCATCCCAGCACTCGGGGCACCACTCCCCATCCCAGCACTCGGGGCACCACTCCCCATCCCAGCACTCGGGGCACCACTCCCCATCCCAGCACTCGGGGCACCACTCCCCATCCCAGCACTCGGGGCACCACTCCCCATCCCAGCACTCGGGGCACCACTCCCCATCCCAGCACTCGGGGCACCACTCCCCATCCCAGCACTCGGGGCACCACTCCCCATCCCAGCACTCGGGGCACCACTCCCCATCCCAGCACTCGGGGCACCACTCCCCATCCCAGCACTCGGGGCACCACTCCCCATCCCAGCACTCGGGGCACCACTCCCCATCCCAGCACTCGGGACACCACTCTCCATCCCAGCACTCGGGACACCACTTCCCATCCCAGCACCCGGGGCACCACTTCCCATCCCAGCACCCGGGGCACCACTCCTCATCCCAGCACTCGGGGCACCACTCCTCATCCCAGCACTCGGGGCACCACTCCTCATCCCAGCACTCGGGGCACCACTCCCCATCCCAGCACCCGGGGCACCACCCCCCATCCCAGCGCCCAGGGCACCACCCCCCATCCCAGCGCCCAGGCCATCACTCCCCATCCCAGCACTCAGGACACCACTCCCCATCCCAGCACTCAGGACACCACTCCCCATCCCAGCACCCAGCGCACCACTCTCCATCCCAGCGCCCAGGCCATCACTCCCCATCCCAGCACTCGGGGCACCACTCTCCATCCCAGCGCCCAGGTCATCACTCCCCATCCCAGCACGCAAGACATCACTCTCCATCCCAGCACGCAAGACATCACTCCCCATCCCAGCACCCAGGGCACCACTCCCCATCCCAGCACCCAGGGCACCACTCCCCATCCCAGCACCCAGGACACCAATCTCCATCCCAGCGCCCAGGACACCACTCCCCATCCCAGCACGGACGATATACCTCCCCATTCCAGTGCCCAGGATATCCCTACCCATCCCGGCACAATTTCGGACCCCTTGCACCAAGCCGCTACCCAAGACACTATGTTAGAACTCCCGTCTTGGATAGATGACCCAAAAGGAGCAGTTATTAACTCAGGGAAAGTTGCTCAAGTAGAGAAGCACTCTTCCCGGACGCCCTCAGTGGAGAGAGTGGGCCCCTCTGGTCTTGCCAAGACCGACACACAAAGTGCAGCTTCTATACAAGGTGTTGGACAACAAGAAAGTCACATAAACATTGAGAATCCAAATTCCGTTAATTTGACTCTAGGCTTTGCAGCTCCTGACTCATCGCTGAACAATATTACATTTGCTGACAAAGATCCCGGGATAAACGAGACACATCTATTATCAGGGAGAATTGATACAGCAGAATTTATAGCTAGCAAGCCCCTCGTCGTTTACAGGAACGGAACCTTCAATGACTCATTGGCTGTGTATTATGAGGAAGATATACTTTTCTTTGACCATACTGATTCACCGGGAACAACCCTTCCCTTAGGATCTAGCACAGAGTTATCCCTTGATAGCGACAAGATTCCTCCCTCAGCCCCGAGCTCTAGGACCAGTGGCGCCTCGGGAGAAGCCGAGGACTCCCAGGCCAGCGGTGGTGCCAGCCACGGTCACGACCGACAGGGATCACACGCCCCATTTGGAACATACAGTAGGAATACCTTTCTTGATAAAGTTAACAAATTAAGAGAATCAAAAACAAAAATTAAATTTAAAGTTCAGTTAAAAATATCCAAGCGACAAAATTCTACAGATGAGGAAGAAAGAACAGATGCGAGCGACAGACCCAAACACACACCATCTTGTTCCTTGCTAAACCCGCTTCTGTCAAGGTCTCGTCTAGCACACGACCGACGCGCGAGCATCACGCAGTCGTCTGTCACAGTGCCTGGTCAGAGTGGCACGACTTCTGATGCCAGGGATGGGCTCGTGTCACCCACCTCAACACATCAACCCCGATACCTTGAGGGTTATCCAGTCATCAAGAAACTCTTCATCGAAGGAGCAGTAAAGGAGAGTGATAATATAAAAGACTTGCACATCTCTGTTACACCTGACGTAACCACGGAATATACTGGTACAGCCCCGGAGCCCACACCTCGGGTTCCGTCCGCTCTCAGTAAAGAATCTGTATCGCCAACGGCTTCCCTTCTAAAGTCGATCTCAACACTACACGAGACACACTTACCAGTTATTAAGGAACTTAAGAAAGAGAGAGAAATACGTCGAATTATTAACGAAAATACATCTTCCCCAACACCTACGAAGCCAACTACAACGTCTACAAACTATGCTGTTGATTCCCATAACATACCTCCTCATTCCAATAGATATTTTGAAGTTCCAAAACCAGCAATAGATAAAGCTCGACCATTGCTTCAGAAAATACAAGAAAGTGATTTCACTTCGTTACCACCATCAGCTAGTTCAAATTATAGAGTTTCCAACGAAAATTGGGGTTCTACACTTGCATACTCAGATTACATAAATGCTCCTCCAGTTGACGCAACTTTCGTGGGACCTTCTTCAAGTACTTCCATTACCGTCTTACAAACTTCAGATACCTCCACAGATTCATCAGATCCCATGACGTACTGGGATCAAGTACACTCAACAGAACCGTCACATACTACTTTGACGCCGGAAGCGCCTTCCTTTACCAGGACGTCGACAGTCTTACCAGAGGAAGCTTTGACACCTTCGATTGTTGACGGGACAGATGAGCAGCTTAGGGTTCTAAGTCTACACAACTACGTTCAAGGTATTGAAGCCACTTCCGACGATCGTGAAAATGTACAAGTTCCAACACCAGTTATGCTTCGAATAACGGAGGAATATTCTTCTCTGACATCACCACAAGCAATTTCTCAGCCCAACCTAATCTTCAGTATTGATTCATCCGAATCGACACCCTCGACGCCCATCTCGCCCGACACCCTTCTCACTACCCCATCCTCGCCTGACACCCTTCTCACTACCCCAGCCTCTCCTGACACCCTTCTCACCACCCCAGCCTCTCCTGACACCCTTCTCACCACCCCAGCCTCGCCTGACACCCTTCTCACAACCACAGCCTCGCCTGACACCCTTCTCACAACCACAGCCTCGCCTGACACCCTTCTCACAACCACAGCCTCGCCTGACACCCTTCTCACAACCACAGCTTCGCCTGACACCCTTCTCACTACCCCATCCTCGCCTGACACCCTTCTCACTACCCCATCCTCGCCTGACACCCTTCTCACTACCTCATCCTCGCCTGACACCCTTCTCACTACCCCAGCCTCTCCTGACACCCTTCTCACCACCCCAGCCTCTCCTGACACCCTTCTCACTGCCCCAGCCTCTCCTGACACCCTTCTCACCACCCCAGCCTCTCCTGACACCCTTCTCACTGCCCCAGCCTCTCCTGACACCCTTCTCACTGCCCCAGCCTCTCCTGACACCCTTCTCACCACCCCAGCCTCTCCTGACACCCTTCTCACTGCCCCAGCCTCTCCTGACACCCTTCTCACTGCCCCAGCCTCACATGACACCCTTCTCACTGCCCCAGCCTCACCTGACACCCTTCTCACTGCCCCAGCCTCTCCTGACACCCTTCTCACTGCCCCAGCCTCACCTGACACCTTACGTGGCTTCTGCGAAGTAGAGGAGATGGGGAAGATGTTCAGGCTGCCTGAAGACCCTTGCATCATTTGCAAATGTTCGGTACGTGATGTTCATAGAAAATTTCTTCATTACGCCTGACCTTGTCAGTCATGCAGGATATTACGCCTGACTTTGCATCAGTCATGTAGGATATTATGCCTGACTTTGCGTCAGTCATGCAGGATATTACGCCTGACTTTGCGTCAGTCATGCAGGTTAAAAATTTGCGTTCGATATAATTCATTGTTCATACTACAGATGGTTTGTTGAGGCTCTCTTATGATGGAACCATCTTGATGACACTTACTCTGCTTAATGATTTGCAATGTGACCACTCGAGCCCTTTACGACGCTACGAATCACACTCTTATGTGCGCATAAAATTCAAGATAATTTTAATATGAAGAAACTGGAAACGATATACATAAGTTTGTGCTCAAGTGAAATGAGTTAGTTTGTTAAATTTTGTGTATAGGCTAAATAATGTGGTGATTCGAAGCTTCGTAAAGATTTCTAGTGATCACTGGTGATGCCTGTGCGTCTCGTTGCAGCGTGAGCTGTCGTGGGAGTGTGGGAAGGTGGCGTGTCCCCCTCTAGACTGTCCAGCTGAGGAGCTCCACCTGCCGGAGGGAGAGTGTTGTCCTGCCTGCAGAGGTCTGTAATCTAGCCATAGAGAGAGACTAATAAACGCATGGAGAGCTAAAGTCTGTTTACATTTAGAATTTTGAGTTACCTATAACAACTTTGTCTTGTAAACCACTGTCTACTAATCCTCTCTCGTCTTTCCAATTTGTTCTCCTGATAATTTTATGGTTGTCTTGAGATGTATTTATTGAACCTTTCGTAAATATTTGGTTAGGAAGAATAATAGGAATGGCTATTGTTGTCCCCAAGCTCCCCTTGCCACTTCGGGGGGGTATAGGGGGTTTATGATGCTTCAGGGCATCAATCCCCCCAGCCACAGGGCAACTAGGGACTAGAAATTCCCGACTTTCCTACGTCAATCTGTCTACAGAAGAACAAGCGGCTCGGGGCGTTGGTAGAGTCGGGGGGATCCAGTGGAGGTGAAGGATCGAGACATGCCTTTACCCGCATATAACTAAGTTGTTGCAGTTATTTTTACCTAGAGAAAGCTTGTAACACTGCCTGGAGACATTAAATATATTACTCTGAATGCATTCGCTGGACCTGCTTGGCAACTTGTCACTCTTGCGGCAAAGCTTTCTCTCTAGTCATATGCTTAAGGCACGTCTTTGGATTGCTTTATGGACTTCTTATCACCAAAATGGAGGCATTTCGCCGGGTAGTGTTTTGATTACTACCCTTTCCCCTGGTTGTCCTTAATGATCTTGCTTCTTCCTTCCCACCTGGTGTTAACTTAGCACTTTATGCGGACGACATTACTACTTGGTGTTGCGGTAATGAGTGTCTTCTTCAGCGCCGGTTTCCGATTGCGGCGACGGCCTGGCCTCGACCTGGATTCATAAAGTAGTACCGCAAGTACTTGCGAACTTGTACAACTTTTCTCAATCTTTGGTGATTTCGCTAATATTCGTTAATCCATTTCTGAGCACCAAAGCACCAGGAGACTGTTTAAAACTATAATAACATTTTATTGAGGAGTTTTGATCCTCGTAAACTGTTTAATGAATGTAAACAACGCCGCCAAAGATTGAGGAAAGATGTACACGTTAATAAGTACTTGCCTAACTACTTGTTGAATCCTGGCCCAGGTCTACCAGGCATGAATTCAATGTTTCTACAATGAAACCTATTACTAGACGGCGTATTGTTCTCTGCTTGTCCTTGTCGCTGTCCGGAGGTCAACTTCCGAGTTTAAACAAAATGCAACATTCTTGAAGTAGGTCTTTGACACCGTGTTGTCATGATATTCCCAAGTGTGGTACCTACAAATAAAATAGGCCAAGGCCCTTTCCTTGGAAAAGAGCAATCATAAAATAATAAGTTAAGAAGAATTAAATCATTATAGGTGTACAGAAGTTGCATTTCAAAACTCTACAGGATGGAATTCAGTAGAGAATTTTCGGGTAAGAAAAACAATATTAAGGCGAGAACCGGTGTTAATGGCCAAGAAATGGGACTCGAGCTCATTTGCGACCGACAATGGTTCTCTAAATGAAATTGTCTGCAGTCATATGAATCTTCGTCCAGATATGTCAACCCGTCCTCCAGCCCGTCCTCCAGACAAAGACCCAAAAGTGATTCCATCCACGCGCCAAACCCCCAGGTGTTTATGAATGAAAAACGGTTTACACACGACTCACAACTGATGACGTTCGAACACTTCCGGAACAAGTGCTTCACTGACGAATTTTGTTCGAACCACAACGCTGTAAATGCTTCACCCACGTACTACAAATACAAATAATCGCCAACAGAACCTAAACACCTAACCTAACCTATGCCTATATATGCGCAATATGCTAATATATTATTTTATTAATTGATATTGAGATAATTCTTGTTTTGAATGAACAGCATGTTAAAATTAATGAATACGTCTTTGGGATCATTTGTTCCGGAAGTTTGCAATCGAAGTCAGTTGCGAGTCGTGTCTAAACAGTTTTTCATTCATAAACAGCGGGTTTGGCGGGTGCATGAAATCACTTTTGTATCTTTGTCTGGAGGACGGGCTGGCAAATACAATCACCAACAGAACCTAAATGCCTAATGTTACGGTTCCCTCTCCTATCTCTTTCGTTTTCCTGCTTTAAGAGTCATATCAGCTCTCCCTACTGATTCTCTGAGGTTCAGGGAGTCTATTGACATATGTGGCGACCAGACCGGATGCCGGTTAAAGGAAGGAAGTTACATTATAAGTTGTAAATAAGGGGAAATTGGCGCCCTGATATAAAATGAAAGAGTATCCCCTAATGCAGATATGACCTTTTGGAAGGGACACTAGCCGATCGCGGATTGGCCGACTTAGGTCGCGGGCGACCAATCAGGGCCCGCCATGACGTCACTGAGTGCCCCGGGCGGCACCAACGTCAGAGTTGACCCGACCTTGGAAGCGACAGGACGCGCCTCGGTCTGCTCTCGAGGATTAGAGGGTCTACAAGCCTTTCTTAGTGGATTAGTGCTGGCTATTGCAGCCCATCTCACGTATTGGAGACCCCGCGCTTCTGGGAAGCGAAAAGGAACCAAGTTTATTGAGCGAAAGAGTGCCACACTTGGAAAATATTCGGCGACGACGCTGGGCGGCGACGCTGGACGTTGGGGGGCCTGGAAAGGTGTGGCGGGCAAGCCTAGCTGTGACCGGGTCACATCCACTGAGGGTTGGAAGGACGACACCGTGCCTAGGACAAGGAGCAACGCCTTGTGGAAGGGGCGAGTGTGGGAAAAATAGTGATTAGCTCAGCGCCCATCGATGAACCAGGATTGGGGCAGCTGAATCTCAGGGATTGGAACGGCGACGACGCGAAGGCTCCACGACACCTGAGGATCTGTGGAACGTTCCTGGATCGTCGAGGATCGACTCAGGAAGCGTGGGAACCTCACACCATCGAGGGACAGGCGTCGTGAGCCAGGAATGTAAGGTAGATCATTTTCCCTCCCATTACCCCTTGTGTGAGTAGGCTAGTTAGGCCACAATATTTACTTATGTATGTGGCAATAGGACATTAATGCTTTAATAGTAGAATAGGCTGCAAGGCAGCTTGTGTCCAGGACCGTCATAGAGGACAGTGTGTATGGATGGCAGGACAGTGAAGAAGAGGCGCCGACGTGGTGAAGAGGCCCTCCTGTGAGAGAGTGTGGGACTCCTGTCTTTCTGCCCAGTTGAAGGAGTGTTGGAGGTCGTGGAAGAAGAGGCTGACGATCTCCAGACTTATTATTCTTATTTCCATATTCATGTATTACTTGTGATTGTGTGTGTGTTCATGTAATTTGCATCAGTAAATTCACACTTTTATCATTGTGTTTGAGTGTGCCTCCATTTATAATATTTCTCTATGAGCATACACGAAGGTTATCACAGTACCACCTAGGGAACACAACGTTCTCTATAGAAGTTCTTATTGCCTGGTGAGTGGTAAAGACAGCACAGACTTACATAAAAGTGTACCCTTAGCCATCCGATCAGTATCAGTGCCTGAATGGTGGCAACTATTAACGTAGTGGCTATAGAGAGGTAAAGCCACACAGACTTTCCTGGGAGAGTACCCTGGGCAGACAGTCTAGTAGCAGATCTATGGGAGTAGCAATCTTCTGGCTACAAACATATAATACACCCACTGAACTGCATTACTGGGGTGCAGATATAATAACCCAGCTGGCGACCTTGTTAAGAAGAAGATAGAGAAGACAGGCGGGAAAGGAGTTCCTGCAACCTTTTTGTCTGGCAGGCAAGACTCAGGGAGGTTATTGTTATAAGGTAAGCCTGAGTCTTCCTTCACTCCTCCACGGGTCTAGGCCGGAACTGTTAACAGCAGTTTCCCCGTGTTTGACTGAAGGGCTTCCAGGGTGAATCAGTGGCACCCTCTTTTGTGGTGGAAGCAAAGACCTGCGGAGGTGGGCATTGTTGGTCCTCTCCTGTGTGACCAAGGAGACCCCGGTGAATCCCAGGAGTCGGAGGGGCTGAGTATTCGGCCTTTTGAGCCCCTAGCAGCCGAGTGCTAGCAGAGCCCCGGCCCACCACCCTCCACGTGACACTAACCTAACCAATGCCTAAATATGCGCATTATGCTAATAGATAACAATGTTAATTTATAGTTGCAAAAATTCCAAAATGAATGAATAGCATGTTAAACTTTATGAATTCATCTTTGGGGTCGACCGCTGGATGGAATGGACTTGTTCTGAGGATGGGTTGAGATATGGGGAAATGAGGTTTTAACAGCGGAAGCAGGCACACTAGATATCCAATTATCCCACTTATTTGAACGAATGACCCTAGTCTGCCATGTCTCCTGTGTCTTCTTTCCCATCTCCCCCCCCCCCTCCTTTTCCCAACCCTCCCCTCCCCCCATCTCTTGGCCCTCCACACCCATGTCTGACCAGGCTGTTGTCCTTCATCCTCCCAGCAATCATGTTATTCGTTCCCGTTTTTCTTCTCCTGTTGAGATCATTGAGTCTTTTGCCTAGTACGTTGCTGCTGGCATACCTGTCTCTTTGAGTCATAAACGTAAGCCTGCTTCCTCTCCTTCATCCTTCCCGGTGGGTTAGAAATCATCGCTTTCTTCCGTGCCACCCCGCCTCTGACTCTTATCACTACGTCCCCTCCCATTTCGGTGATCGGGCCTCCTGTCCCAGCTATGGAGGTTCCCTTAGCCCCCGATTCTCTCTCGGTTGTTGCTCTTGCTGAGGTGCATTTCCCAGTTTCTGAACCTGCTGTCCTTGACCGCTCCTCTCCGTCGTCTCCTACTCCGGACCCCGACCGTCCACCTCTGGTATGTCCTCCCGCTCCCTTAACTCTGTCCTTACTAAGTTTACCCATGCACCCAAACCTAGATTTTGTTGATCCTGATCTCGTCCTGGTCACTTTCGTTGTTATTCCTTTCTCTCCCCCCCCCCACCCCTTCCCCCAGCAGCTTGGGCCCATAACTTACTGCTCTCTTGATTCGTACTGATATTTCCTCCATCCCCCTACTTTTTCAGTCGTCTATCCAATGTTCTGCAGTCCGTGTCTTCGTGAGTAAATGGTATACGGTCTATTCCATTTATCTCTCCCCCTAATATCCCACTTTCTCTTTCTGATCTCAAGTACCAACTGGACTCCTTGCCGACTAGTCCCCTCCACTCCCCTCTCTCCTCTCTCTCCTCGGTGGTAGGGTCGAGCCCCAAGCCCCCAGTGGTGACCACCTCGTCCCCTGGAATGGCTCTCTCTCTCTCTTTGACTACTGTACCATTAACCTCCCCCCCCCCCATCTCACTGGAGGTTCTCTGCACGGACCCTCCCACAGACGCTCCCACACAATTCCTTCCTGCACTAATACATACCATGCCTTGTTTGGTCCTGCTACATGGACTAAATACTTTGATCTCATCCATAAGGATTCTACAGTTCATGACGATTTCTTCCTTCATAAACACCTCGTTGATCCGGTGGATGCCTCTGTTACTTTCAACCTAACCCGTTTTGGTACCCGGTCATGTATATCCTTGTTGAATGTCCTGACATCCAGGACGAGCGTGTCGTGCTTCCCGACCATCCCCCGCGGTCACTTGTTCCTCGATAGAATTCTTGGTGAATCGGATACTTTTGATATCGTTCGCCTTATGCGTTTGTTTTCATATTGGCATCCTTAGTAATATTTAGTTCCCTCTGATTATTCCGAACATTTAATGCTGCTACATAGCCTTCCCGGTTTGGTGCCTTCTTTTGATAATTACTTGTTGGTGCCAGATGATCCGTTCAGGAGTACATCTCGCCTCTGCAGCCGGTGTTGGAGATTTGGGCATGGTCCCTTCAGGTTCACTAGTGAGGTGTGTGTATGCCCCATGTGTGCAGCCTCGGATCATTCTAACACAGAGTGCCTTTCTTCACAAGCTCTCTCTGACAATTGCGGTGACACCCACACTGCTTTCTCCTGTGCGTGTGATCACTACAAATTTAAGGAAGCCATCTTGAATTTAAAACATCGTGATCATTTATCTTTCTTGAGGCAAGACAGAAGGTTTGCCATCTTCTCTTTCTCTGGCATGTCTTATGCTCGTGTGTTGTGTTCCCCTTCTTCTCGCCCTCTCCCACTTTCTCAATTTCGCAACCGTTTCCAAGCTTTGGACCCCGACACCACCTCGTCTGCTCCTTTGCGTTCTTGGCCAGAGGGTTTTCCTCCTCTGTCAGGTGTTTCCTTCCCTCCTCAGTCTTCCTTGTCTCCTCTGCCCTCTTTCCCTTCTCGCCCTGATCCTTCTCAGCCCTCCCCTCAGTCTCTTGGCCCTCCTTACCACCTATCTGATCAGGCCATTGTCCAACCCCCTCCCAGCGTTCATGTTGACCATTCCCGTTCATCTGCTGAAACTGTTGAGGTGGTTACCCAGTATATTGTTGATGGTACGCCTGTCTCTCTCCGTCAGAAACGTAAGCCTGGTTCCTCTCCTTCATTTCCGGCGGGTAAGAAGGCTTTGATATATTCCTCACCTTCCAACTCCGAAACAACCCCTCTTTCTCCTATTTCAGTGACAGTCACCTGTCCCGGCTATGGCGGTCCCCTTGGTCCTTGATCCTCTCTTGGATTCTGCCTTTGATCCGGTGCCCTCTCCTGTTTCTGCCCTTCCTTTCCCCGATCCCCTTGACCACCTCTGGATGCCGCCTCCTGCTCCGAAATCTGTCAGTCCGTCTCTGGTCCGTCCTCCCATTCCCTTGCCTCCATTATCTTTGCTAGCTTTGCCCATGCCCTGTCACCTTCATTTCCCTGATCCTGGTCCTGATCTTCCTTAGTCTACTGTGTTCTTCTTTGCCTTTGTTTCTCCTTTGTTATCTCTGTTTCGGTTCTCTTTTTTTTTTTTTGTCCGTCTGTTCTTCAATGGAATATTCATGGTTTTTATGCCAATTTCTATGAACGCCAACGATCATTTCTATGATCGTGCAGTTTTCACTGCTTTTTGTCTCAAAGAGCCGATGCATGGCGTTCATCCTGGTCGCTTCCGAGGTTACTTTTTCAGGTGCCCATTCAGTGTTCTGCGGCTCCTATCTTTGTGAGTAAATGGTATACAGACTGTTCCATTGTCTTCCCCCAAATGTTCCACTTTCTCTTCCTGATCTTAAACACTTGTTGGATTTATTACCAGAGCCTGTGCTCCTTTTGGGTGATTTTAACTGCCGGCATACCCTCTGGGGAGATGTTCTGACTAACACTCTGGCCACCTTCTTGAACCATTTGTCCTTTCTTCTCTGTTACTTCTAAATTCTGGTGAGCCCATTCATGTTCACTCCCACACACTCGTACATTTTCCTGTCTTGATCTTTCTCTCTGCTCGTCTTCTCTTTATTTAGACTTCACCTGGCGGGTTCTTGATGACCTGCATAAGTGACCATTTCCCCATCCTTTTCACCTTCCTCTCTCTTCACCCTCCCTTCTTATGCCCTAGGTGGCAGTTTGCCAAGGCTGACTGGAACCTCTTCACCTTATGCACTACTCTTTCTGACCTCTCTGATCTGCCTCTTTCCTGAGCCCCCCTCCTCTTTCATGGCACGGTTTTTGATGCTGCCCTCTGCTCTGTTACTCATTTTACCTCCCGGGGCGTGCAGAAGTGCATTCCCTGATGGACAGACTGTGCTCGGGCTGTCTGCTGTAAGCGTGCAGCCTAGAAGAAACACCGTCCCTAAAGGATGCCAGAGTCTTGGATTTTGTTTTGGAAGGCGAGTGCGGTGGCCTGTAGGGCCATCCGTACAGTTAAGCGTGAAGGTTGAACTTTCGTTTCCACCATTACTTCTGACACTCCTCTGCATCTGATTTGGAAGAAAATTCGCAAGATAGCGGGAAAGTTTGTTTCAGATGTCTCGCCAGTCCTTTACCTCCGTGGTTCTATTTTGGCGGATCCGGTGTCGGTCGCAACCAAACTATGTTCACACTTTTAAACTGTTAGCTCTGGTTCTCATTTTCCTCCTTCTTTCCTTACTCGTAAGACCCTTCTTGAATCTTGTCTCTTAGATTTTTGCACTCGTCTTCAACTTCCTTATAACGATCCTTTCATTTTCTCAGAACTCCAATATACCTTGGCCCTCTGCGGTTCAACAGCGTCGGCCTCAGATGATATTCATTATGAAATCATTCGCCATCTCCGTCCATGAACGTTTCAGTATTTACCAAGTGTTTATAATTGTGTCTGGGAGTCGTCGTCAGTCCCTGAGGACTGGCTTGAGGTGGTGGTTCTTAGTATTAGGAAACCTGGTTCTCTAGGGTCATCCCCGAAAGTTTTCTGTCCCCATTGCTGTAGCGAGTTGCGTCTGCAGACTCTTTGAGCGAATGGTCAATGTCCATCTGATGTGGTTCTTGAAACGCTATCAAATCCTCTCCTCTTCTCAATTTGGCCTTCACAAGTGTCGCAGCACGACTGACGTCCTTGTGAACTTGGTCTATATTCGTACTGCCTTTCCTGCAAAGACCTCTATGGTTGCTGTCCTTTTTGACATAGAAAAGGCATATGACACCACCTGGAGATACCATATTCTGTCCCAACTTCGTTCTTTTGGACTTCGTGGTAATCTCCCTCTCTTCCTCCAGAGCTTCCTCTCTCGTCGTCCCTTTGGAGTGACGCTTGGTACCACTCACTCTGCTTTTTTTGGCAATATGAAGGTGTGCCTTAAGGTAGTGTTCTGAGCACCACTCTTTTTCTTGGTTGCCCTCAATGGTCTTCTTTCCTCCCTTCCCTCTGACATTTTCTCCGCTCTTTATGTTGACGATCTTACCTAAGGCTGTCAAGGTGATGAATCGCCTGTCCTCCGACGGTGTCTTGAACTTGCTATTGAGGCAACATCATCTCAGAAACCCTTACTAATTTATTTTTTCATCAATATAAAAAAAAAATGATATTATATATGAATAATAATGGCTTCATTAGAGGCTTATGTCGACAAATTGTAAATTTATTTAATATATAATTATCTGTTTAAGACATGGTATGCAGTCTTTTTGTTGTCATATTTTTAACTCATTGTCAAAGAAGGATCTTTTAACTTTTTTATTCTTTTAATTATTATCAAACTAGCACGTGTCGGAGTACTCTGCTCCTATAGCGATGAAACTGTGAGGTTAATATTGAGTAGCTTGAGTCTCTCTCAGCGTGTGAGGTGCAGGTGGGGTCAGAGCTGCGTCAGTATGGTGAGGGTGAGAGCTGGACACACCCCATACATGTCTGCACCATATGTGTGTGTCTGAGGGGAAGAGCTTCTTGTTCCGCCTCTCACTGCCCTGATCGCCACCAACAGTTGCCCATGCTTGCACCTGGATACTGTAAGGGAACAGTGTGCTTCAAGAGGCAGTGTTCCTCGGGGCAGGAGGAGAGGTACCTGCCAGGCAGCTGCTGTCCCGTCTGTGCTCCAGGTTTGTTATCCTCCTTTTTATGTTTCCAACTCTTATTGCCAATCGTTCTCATATACAGTAATTAGATTGATACAAATTATGTATAAATTAAAAAAAAATAATGATGAAATAATACACTTGGCTACTACGGCCAAGCTTTACTAAGTAAAACTATTTCACTACATATTTGAAGTAATACAAAAGCAAACTTTTAACAATACAAATAGTGAATTGTAATTATCCAAATAATGAAATACATGCTTATATGAAACCACAGACTAACCAAGATCAGTAGGTAGAGTTCCTTGTTGGGGAAAAAAGACACTATTTACTAATCTTTAATACAATATGCAGATAATATTACTGTTGCTGTTGTACTAACAAATTAACACTAATTAACCCAATTATCTTAGTTATTCATTCAAAGAAAACGAGAACGCAGTGTAATTTTCCTTTAGAAAATGAGGATATATTGCCACGTCAGCAAATTAAATTCACCAGCAAATAATATTGTGAATTCTTTCTAAAACATCAGTCTCTGGACAGCAATCATCATAAAAACATTTCCCTGGAACAAACTTAATTATCAGTATTAAAACTAATTAAATATAAACCCTCTTTCCACTCCTTGATCAAATGCATTGGGAGGAAACGGCCGATGTGGGAAGGAGAGAGGAGCACCCATTTTTCAACCTGAAACGGAAAACGTGTCATGTTGATGTCCTGAGTATTTGCAGAATGCACATCATTCTTGCGTAGTTGGTCAGCACAAATCAACACCATCGTATCCTGGAAAGGCATTATATCCATACAGTATTCATAATATGTTATAAGAGCTCATATTTATTGTGTAATATACTGTTTACGGTTATGCTGCATGGAAACAACAAAGCCAAGGGTGAGCAATAATCTTATCTTTTCATTTCAGATTTTTATTATATACATGTAAATAAATAAATAAATAAATGTTTATTCAGGTAAGGTACATACGTACAAGTGATGTTACATTAATGGATTGATATATAGATAGAGCTAGTACATACAATGCCTAAAGCCACTATTACGCAATGCGTTTCGGGCAAGAAAAACATTAATATCTAGAACTTAATACTAATTGAGCATAAAGAATAAAAAGTGTTGAGAACAAATACAAATAAAGATAAAAAAAAAAAAAAAAAATGGGGAACATGACTGAAAAAGCAGCACAAATACAATAGGTTGACAAACAGTGTTGATTAAAAAAAATAAGACATGGGTTGACAATAGAGGAGTGAGGTAGGTTACAGGGAATTTATTAGGTAGTGTTTAGTTTTTATCTTAAATTGGTTGAGAGAGGTACAGTCTTTAACATGGTTGGGAAGGTCATTCCACATTCTGGGTCCCTTGATTTGTAGAGCATTTCTAGTTTGATTAAGTCGTACTCTAGGAATATCAAAACTGTATTTATTTCTGCTCATGGGTTCTGTTACAACCTTCAATGAAGCTTTTGAGGTCAGGATTGGCATTACAGTTCAGCGTTTTATATATGTATAATACACAAGAGAGAATGTGCAGTGACTTAATATCTAACATATTCAGAGATTTGAGTAAGGGTACCGAGTGATGTCTGGGGCCAGAGGTGGATATTGTCCTAATAGCAGCTTTGTGTTGGGTAATTAAAGGACGTAAATGATTTTGGGTAGTAGAACCCCAAGCACAAATACCATAGTTGAGGTATGGATAGATGAGGGAGTAATAGAGAGTAACCAGGGCAGGGCGGGGTACATAATATCTGATCTTAGAAAGAATGCCCACAGTTTTTGAAACTTTTTTTGATATATTTAGAATGTGTCCCTGGAAATTCAGCTTGTGGTCGATGAGAACGCCAAGGAATTTGCCGTCTAATTTGTTACAAATTTGGGTATTGTTTATTTTGAGATTTATCTGATTAGAGGATTTATTGCCAAACAGAATATAAAACGTTTTGTCAATGTTAAGGGTGAGTTTGTTGGCAGTTAGCCAAAGATGGACTTTCTCTAGCTCAGTATTTACTGTGGCATTTAGAGTAAGGGGGTCAGGACTGGAGTAAATGAAGGTTGTGTCGTCAGCAAATAGAATTGGTTTGAGGTGTTGGGAGGCATTTGGAAGGTCATTAATGTAGATGAGAAAGAGGAGAGGGCCAAGTATGCTGCCCTGAGGAACACCAATGTTGATGGGTAGGGTGGGAGAAATTGTATTATTCACAGAAACATACTGGAGCCTGTCAGTAAGATAAGATTTGAGGTATTGCAGGGAGTGTCCTCTGACTCCATAATGATGTAATTTAAGAAGGTTTTGATGGTTGACAGTGTCAAAAGCCTTACGCAGGTCCACAAATAACCCAACAGGAAACTCCTTTTTATCAAGAGCTGCGTGAATTAAGTTAATCATACTAATAAGTGCATCGTTAGTGCTTTTTTTGGGTCTGAAGTCATATTGACGAGAGCTAAGTATATTGTGTTTGGCTAGAAAAGAGTAAAGCTGCTTGTAGATTAGTTTTTCGAATATTTTTGACAAGTTAGGCAGGATTGATATAGGTCTGTAGTTGTTAACATCTGTGAGATCACCACATTTGTGGACAGGGGTTACTCTTGCTATTTTTAGAATGTCAGGAAAGGTTTGGAGTTCAAGTGACTTGAAGAGCAATGCAATAGCAGGGGCTAGAGATCTGGAGGCTTTTTTGTAAATTAAAGTTGGTATCTCCTCGAGGGCACTAGACTTGGTTTTAAGGGAAAGGATTATTTCATTGACATCAGTGGAACTAGTAGGCTTTAGGTACAGAGACTGGGGATAGTTACCTGTAAGATAGTCCTTAACATCAGTACAGGAAGATGGAATATCATTTGCAAGGGATGACCCAATGGAAGAGAAGAACCTATTGAACTCAATAGCAGAATCAGAGGCTGAAAGCTGACCAACATTATTGGAAAGGAGTGTTGGTTTGTTATTTAAAATCTTCTTTGATCCCAATATTTGTGAAATTGTGCTCCAAGTTTTTTTAATGTTGCTCTTAATTTGGGTAAATTTATCTTCATAGTATTTAGTTTTGGCTCGTCTAATTATTTTAGATAGCAATAACGAGTAATTCTTTGAGAATTCTTTGGAGACTGTTCCTAGCCTATACTTCTTCTCAAGGTCGTGTTTTTTGTTAATGGATTTAAGTATTCCCTTTGTAAGCCAAGGATTGTTAAGCCTTTTGCTTGTGACTTGTTTTGTAAGCATAGGACAGTGGGTGTTATAAAGGCTAAGAGTTGTTTGTAGAAAAGATTGCACTGCTAGGTTGATGTCCCCTATGTTACCTAACTCGGACTCCCAGTTGACATTATCAGCAGCAGTTATAAAATTGTTTATAGCAGTTTCATTGTGCAGCCTAAAGCTTAACTCCCTTGTCTCTAGAGGTGGTTTGCTAATGTTAGTTAAGAGAAATGTGGGGTAATGGTCTGTAGTGCTATTGATGATTATACCTGAAGTAAGCGGAGAGGTTATGTTGGTCCAGATGTGATCTAGAGTCGTAGCAGTACTATCAGTGATTCTAGTTGGTCTAGTGATTAAGGGTATGAGGAAGCAGGAATTTATACAGTTGAGGAAGCTAACAGCAGTAGGGTGTTCAGGCTCGCAGAGGTCAATATTAAAGTCCCCTGCGATAATTAGATGGTTTTTGGTCAATCTGTTATCTAGTATTAGATTTCTAAGGTTTGAGTTGAATTCAGACACATCAGTGTTAGGAATTCTATAGACTGCACCCACAGACAGGACAGACTCGGCACCCATGACTCTGAAACTGGCGAAGATATACTCCCCACAGCAGTCTCTAGTTCTAATTATTTTTAAGCATGTTAGTTCTTGGTGGTAGTAAAGAACAGTACCACCACCTCTCTGCATTTGACGACAGTTGTGAATTGCCGAGTAGTTAGGCATGTTAAAGAGTTGAGTATTATCCTCTTTCAACCACGTTTCAGTAAGTATTTGAATAATTTGTGTGTAGCAAAATTTACATTGTAAACTAATTGGCAGGTAATTGGGACGTGAAGTTACTAATGTGGCATCACTCCGAGTAGACCACGTGACCGTTATTGTCCAATTTGCACATAATGATGCCATGAGCTCAAAACTGGAGTCTGGGTGGCTACTCATGTCATTTAAACCAATACCTGAATGTTGAATCCTTCTAGTCAGATAAGGCTTTAAATAATTTAATTAATCATTGTAGTCTAACATCTATTAACAACTTAGTAGTAAGTTTCCTATCAATCGATAATTTTAATTGATAGGCTATAATTGATAGGCTATAATTGATAGGCTATAATTGATAGGCTATAATTGATAGGCTATATAATTAATAAAACCCCAACATGTGTAGAAAGCTGCTTGTGGGAAAATCAAGCATACTTTACACTTCCATTACATATAGTCCATTCAATTATACATACAGTCAGCTATCGAAAGAAATAAATTAATTATAGGTCAGAAATTAGAAATCTTTAAATATATTAACTAATTGTAATTAAATTAATAAATTCCACGAGTCGGTTTTCCCCACATTGTTAGACACAGCTATGAAAGAAACCCGTACATTTTTCCTCGGTCATGATGGCTTTGTTTATATTTATTGAATAGCTTCGAAGTTCGTAAAGAACTTAATAAATGTAAAAGCCGTCATGATTAAGGAAAGATGTACAGCTTAATTTAACTTGGTACAACTTGGAACTTTTTGTTCAGAGTAGCTGAATCTAAAACAACTAAAACAACAAAAAAATAATTCCATTGTAACCCCCTCCCCATCCGGCCCGTTAACGCCGTGAGTGTTTGGTGGTTGGCTGCCGGAGTGCGATGCCCTATGGGGACAGCTCTCTGCCCTTTTGTGGCCTTACGCTCCTGCTGCTGTCTTCTCCAATTATGCCGGATCGCTTTTCATTTCCCTTGTGTTCCGTTTTTCTCCCCCCTCTTCTCCGATCTACTTGTCGTTTCCTGCTGACCTTTTGCTAGTTTTGATTATTCTTTAGAACTTCTACTATTTTGCCGCCTGGGTGCATGGGGAGGCATACTCTTGCACCCGTAGAACTGTAGTACCCAACATCGAGACCCAGGGGAACCTTTTATTGTCAATCCTCCTTTCGTCACTGAACCCGATCTCGATGGACTGACTTCTTAAGGAGGCATTTGTGGGGCGTATACTCACGACGCACCCCTAGGGGGCCCCGGCATGATCGGCACCGCACTCGGTGCAGCCGCCGTCTGGGTAAGTCCCATTTATTTTTTCTTCGTGGGTAGTTAGCTTCAGGGAGACTATAGGGCTCCCTCCACAGTAAACCAGCATTGAATGTAATGAAACGCCATTTCATTACGGTCGGCGAGTTTTGTTTCCGTTTTTCAGGCTCCAAACTCATGTTATGGCTGCTGCCTCGCTGGACTGGGACCTCCTCTCATCCCTCCCGAGGTTGTGGTGGTGGGGGGGGGGGGCGGTCCGCGCTAACGAGTGGCGTTTGGTGTGATGACATGTTGCTTGTTTTTCTCTGGCGAGTTTATCACCTCTGTTTGGTCTCAGGTTGCAATATTTCTACCAGGAGGAGTCAGTTTTGAAGTGCCCACCTTTCTGGGTGCTCAACCCCGATTGATGGCAGACATGAATACTTTCATACATGTGAGTTTCATAGGTCATTGCTTCCTTCGCCTTTGGCTAGGACCATGTTCTGGCTAGTGGGCCCCGGTAGGCATGATAACTCTATATGACTGAAGTCCCCATACTAACATTAACTAATATCAGTCCAATAGCTCCAGGGAGCCTGCAGGGCTCTACTCAGAAAATGGAGTTTCATTACATTCAACGCTGGTTTTTTGCATGTACATTTAACGAAGCAACTTAGGGCAACTTTACACATTTTATTATAAGTGGGGTATTCATTATTTTTTGGCGTCGTGCGTGATCAGCGAGTCGCAGGTGTGTTTGGTGGGGGCAGCACCTGCGCACCTTCGACGGTCTCCTCCTGGGGCACCACACCTACTGTGCCTACACCCTGGCTGCACACTGTTCCAAGCAACTCTTTACCATCTATACTAAGGTTAGCCCAATTTAGTATTATTTAAAATACTTTTATATAAATAATTAATTTAACAATTATGATGATACAAATTATTTGATGACAACAAAAATATTGCTAAAAAAACAGCGCTTGAATGTAATGAAACCAATTTCTGGGCGAGTTCCTCCTGTGGCTTCCTGAAGCCGGTTATTTCCCGGGTCATTCCCTGCTATGATATTTGTGTTTGCCATTCTCCATCTTAGACTTAGTAAATTGAAATCTCCAAGATAATATGTGGAGCTGAATTCGCTAGATTATCAAGGATGTTCTCTATTTTGTGCATCTGCTCTGAGAATTTCTCAACCGTTGTATCTGGCGGTTTATATATTAGAATAATAATTAGGCTTATTTTTTCTACCTTAATTCCAAGTACCTCTACCACCTCATTAGTTGAGTTTAGTAGCTCTGTGCATACCAGGTGCCCTTTAATATACAGACCTACTCCTCCATTTGACCTAGTTTCTCTATCACATCTATATAAATTATAATTTGGAATCCAGATTTCACTATCCATGTAATCTTTCATATGAGTTTCCATAAATGCCCCAAATATTGAGTTTGACTCTAATAGGAGGCCATTTATGAACTTGACTTTATTTTTTATTTTGACTTTAGGCCTTGTATGTTTGCAAATATGAATGATTTTCCATATTGTGTGTCACTTCTGGAAAGTTTTGGTCGTTCTCCCTCCTCTCCACCCCGACCCAGGGTGTGTTGTTGTGGCAATGGTTTGTCCAGTTTTTTAAGTGATACTGGGGAGTGTGGTAGTTTCTGTGTAGTTGGGGGGTGTAGTATGTGTGGGCTTGATGACGAACCGTAGTCCAGTCTTGGGCATTTACTCCTCCCCATTCGTACTCCTGCAACGTTTCTGCCTGTCTGTTCCTCCCTCCGTTTCTGCCTGCCTCTAAAAAATTTCCAGGGCTATTATATTGGACTGCATATTGTTAGGACCGTTGGTCTTCTGTTACTGGTAACAAACTGCCTACTCTTAAGGGTAGTGTGTCCCCATGGCCTTCCTCCTACCATGGTAACCAGCGGAGAAAGCGGCTCTGGCAAGGTTACGTATTGGTCATACCAGTTTAACTCACAGGCACTTTATAAAGTGCCATCCTGGTCCTTTTTGTTCAAGCTGCATTGTCCCTCTTACGGTCGTGCATATCTTTGTTGAATACCCTGACTTCCAGGATGTGCGTGTGTCTTGCTCCCCGACTGTCACTCGCGGTAACCTGTCCCTCGATAGAATCCTTGGTGAATCGGATACCTTTGATGTTGCTCGCCTTATGCGCTTTTGTTCTCATATTGGCATCCTTAGTGATATTTAGTGCCTTTTGAATATCCCACACTTACATTGCCTTCCCGGCTTGGTGCCTTCTTTTTATAATTACTTTAAAAAAAAGACAGAAGAGCTCAGCAGAAAACTACCGGCCGATCAGTTTGACATCACACCGAAAATGTTTGATTTCCACCTCAGGGAGGAAATCAAGTTCAAGTATGTTTATTGAGACACGACAAAAATACATCTCAATGGGATAGAGTACCTTAGGCTATTTCAACCCCCCCCCCCCCAACAGGGAGGAAATCATACACCATCTTTCAGTGAACAACCTTGTACAGTCGACACAACATTGATTTGTTAAAAGCAGATCCTGCCTTACAAACTTTTTGTAAGGCTCACATTATTGGAAAACGGTAACCAGCTACTCAAAGGCCTTCCCGTGGATGTAGTATATACATGGATTTTGTTAAAGCTTTCGATAAGGTACGACATGAAAGACGGGCAAGGAAATTACAGGCCCACGGAATAAATGGTAAAATATTAGAACAGATAAAACAATGATTGAAGGAAAGAAAACAAAGGGTCGTGCTAAATGGAAACGAAACTGAATGGAGAAATGTGCTAAGTGGGGTGCCACACGGGTCCATTTTGAGACCTACCCTTTTTGTCATATACATCAATGACATAGATGAGAATATTACAAACCACATCATCAAATCTGCAAACGACACAGATTTATAGTAAAGTTGGAAATGATAATGATATTGAAGCCTTACAAAAAAAAAACAACATGAATTCCACGAATGGTCAGAAGACTGGCAAATGCTTTTTAATTTTGACAAATGCAAGACCCTGCATGTGGGGCATAACAACCCACTCCACGACTACCAAATTAATAGCATTACATTGTAGCAGATTGATGAAGAAAAAGACCTTCAAGTTAAAATCCACCTCTCGTTAAAAGTTGCACAACAGGTGCAGCAATCAGAAAAGTTAACTAAACTCTTGGGATAATCAAGCGTACTGTAAGGAAAACAAGGTAATGGTTTAACTGTATAAATCTCTGGTGCTCTGTATAAATCATTTGGATTACTGTTTCCAGGCATGGGGACCTCATTTCCATAAGGACATACCTACTCTACAGAAGGTGCAACACCGGGCAACAAAAGTCATTCCAGAGCTAAGTCCTCTCCTGTATCAGGTACACTTGAATGTCACAGGACAATCAACACGGCACACCAGGCATGACAGGGCGGTTTTCATTGAAACTTTTAAAATACTGAACAAGTTAGAAGATGTTGATCCAGACATTTTCTTCAGAAGGTCAGATGTAACACAAACAAGGAGCAACGGTTTCAAGCTCAATAAGCCACTGTAGGACTGAAAACAGGAGATGCTTTTTCACCCACAGGGTTATTAACACATGGAACCGCCTACCCGCCGAAGTTGTAACTGCCAAAACTGTGTAACGTTTTAAAATATACCTGGAAAAGGCAAAGGGGGGGGGGGGGGAAGACCTTCGACCAGCCGCAGGTTTCCTGTCCTCGTCGAGGCCACTAGAGGGAATAATGACGTCCAACAACCTAACGTTTAGGGAGCATAACCAAGCAAACATTATGGCAGCCAGAAAAATGATAGGATGGATTCCGAGAACTTTCGAATCTAGGGATCTTATCATTACTTGCCCCACTCCTGTGCCAGGTTAATCCACTACGGGCTCACCATAGCCCGTGCTACTTGCCCCGCTCCTGTGCCAGGTAAGTCCACTACGGGCTCACCATAGCCCGTGCATGGAGAATACATCACATACGCTGATGATGTTACCCAAATAATATGCCAAACGGGCCCATCAAAGCCGCTACTAGCCGACAAGACCAAGGCAGCCATTGAACTCATAAACAACTTTGAGAAGCAATGGAAAATTAGCATCAACAAACAAAAGTTCCAAATAATACACATTGCGAAAAGAAACCCGGACCCCATCATCCTTGATAACCAGCCGATCCAATATGCGGAGGTAGGCAGAATACTGGGACTTATGATAAATAGAAAAGGGATACAAATTCATGTAAGGGACCGACTAAACAAAGCCATAGCAGCATTAGGAAAACTGAGATTCCGACGCCTCAGTACTAACATTCAGATCCACCTATATAAGGCTCTAGTTCGGCCGCATCTAGAATATCCCCCAGTACCACTACACACCATAAAGAAAACTTTGCAGTCTCCGTGGTGTAGTGGTAAGATACTCGCCTGGCGTTCCACGAGCGCTATGTCATGGGTTCGTATCCTGGCCGGGGAGGATTTACTGGGCGCAATTCCTTAACTGTAGCCTCTGTTTAACGCAACAGTAAAATGTGTACTTGGATGAAAAAACGATTCTTCGCGGCAGGGGATCGTATTCCAGGTACCATAGGATTAAGGACTTGCCCGAAACGCTACGCGTACTAGTGGCTGTACAAGAATGTAACAACTCTTGTATATATCTAAAAAAAAAAAAAAAACTAACATGCAGAAACTGCAAGCAGTACAAAATAAGGCGCTAAGGAGAGCAGCAAAACACCGTCCACCATATGATCAGACAATCCAGGAGCTCCACGAACTCCTGAACATACGGCCACTAAACATCAGACTGCAGCACCAAGCCATCAGGGTGTGGAACACCATCGAAATGTTAGAGGACCCAATGTTTGAAAGATTACTCCAAGATGAGACGCCCCGCTCCCACAGCTGGTGGCCCAAGAGCCTCAATTCTCTGGACGAAAACCCCGCCCCACAGTATATAATCCCAAGATGAGTTATATATGTATATATATGAACAGTTCATATATGTGTATGTATGAACAACTCGATAAATAATATGTATGACAACTCGATAAATAATAATAATAAAATAAAGAGCATTAAACAGAATAACATGTGTGGAAGCATCGGAGTGTGTATATATGAATGCCACACAGTATTCATCTATGGACATCCATATATGGTGAAACACATGTGAAGAACCTCTCACACACTCACAGCTCCCTGACAAGAGGGAGCCAGCTTAGCTTAGCTGCCAACACCCACACATGGTGTCAGCAAGGCGGACAGCCCGCCTGCTTTCATACCTCTCACTGTATTTCCCACTTCTATACTTCCCTTCACCTATGCCTCTCCTTCCTCTTTACTCCCCCCAAAAAAAAAGTTAGTGGCCCTCAGGTAAATCGGGTATTTCATTACACACAGAATCAGGTATTTGTTTCTAATGTGGTGCAAATGAGTTCTGTTACAATCTTTTAGGAAGCGTTTAAGGCCAGGATTGGCATTAGTGTTCAGAGTTTGATATATATAGAGTACACATGAAAGGATGTGCAGTGACTTAATATCTAATATATCACAAAGATTTAAGTAAGGGAGCCGAGTGCTGTCTGGAGCCAGAGTTTGTAATTGTTCTAATAGCAGATTTGTGTTGAGTAATTGGAGAACGTAAATGATTTTGGGGAGTAGAACCCCAAGCACATATGCCATAAATGAGATAAGGATAGATGAGAGAGTAATAGAGCGTTACCAGGGCAGGGCGAGGTACATAATATCTGTATTTAGAACGAATGCCAACTGTTTTAGAAGCTTTTTTCAGCTTTACGTCAATGAGAACACTAAGGAATTTACCATCTACTTTGTTACTAATTTGGATAGTGTTAATTCTTAGATTAATTTGATCTGAGGATTTATTACCAAACAAAATATAGGTTTTGCCAATGTTAAGTGAGAGTTTGTTAGCAGTTAGCCAAAGATGGACTTTATTAAGTTTAGCATTCACTGTGTCATTCAGAATAAGAGGGATAGGACTGGAGAAAATGAAGGTTGTGTCATTAGCAAATAAAATTGCCTTGATATTTAGAAGCATTTGGAAGGTCATTAATGTAGATGAGAAAGAGAAGAAGGCCAAGTTCAACACCATCATTGGTGTTCCACCCTGTGGAACACCAATGTTGATGGGTAGGGTGGGAGAATTTGAATCATTCACAGAAACATACTGAAGCCTGTCACTAAGGTAAGACTGAAGGTATTGGAGGGAGTGACCTCTGACTCCATAATGATGCAATTTAGGAAGAAGGTTGTGTTGGTCAAGTGTCAAAAGCCTTATGTAGATCAACAAATAACCAAATAGGGAGCTAATTTGTATCAAGAGCTTTAAGTATCAAGTTAGTCATACTAATCGGTGCATCATTGTTGCTTTTTTTTTTGGGTCTGAAGCCATATTGGCAAGAGCTACGTATATGGCGTTTAGTTAGATAATAAAGTTGCTTATAGATTAGCTTTCCAAATATTTTAGACAAGGTTGGCAGAATTGATATAGGTCTGAAGTAAGTAAGTAAGTAAGTAATTATCAAAAGAAGGCACCAAACCGGGAAGGATATAGGTCTGAAATTGTTGACATCAGTGAGATCACCACATTTATGGACGGTGATCACTTTTTTTTTTTTTTTTTTAGAATATCCGGAAAGGTTTAGAGTTAGTGATTTGTTGTAGAGCAATGCAATGGCTGGAGCTAGAAATTTAGAGACTTTTTTGTAAATTACAGTTGGGGAGCCGGTCGGCCGAGCGGACAGCACGCTGGGCTTGTGATCCTGGGTTCGATCCCGGGCGCCGGCGAGAAACAATGGGCAGAGTTTCTTTCATCCTATGCCACTGTTACATAGCAGTAAAATAGGTACCTGGGTGTTAGTCAGCTGTCACGGGCTGCTTCCTGGGGGGTGGAGGCCTGGTCGAGGACCGGGCCACGGGGACACTAAAGCCCCGAAATCATCTCAAGATAACCTCCAAGATAACCTGGTGTCTCAGCAAGGGCACTTACTTGACTTTGTTTTAAGAGAAGATGTAGTGGACCATGCTACGATGTAATGGACTTGTGCTACGATGCAGCAGATCCTACATTTGCTAGCTTCTCCTCACCTTAGCCACATTGACTAACATCTAGCAGGTTAGGAAGACATTAATTGTAATTAGTTGTACACTTGGGAATTGCAATTAGTGTAGAACTTCTTGAAATGTGGAACACTTAAAGATAGGTTCTGTATGTTATTAACACACACCTCATTATCTGTCATGAACCTAATGAGAGTATGGAGCAAGTATATTACTTCTTAATATAATTGCTACACATGGGTAGCCTCGTCCCTTGAAAATACTATGGAACGCTACTTGACGAGTGGCACTTAAACCAAAACTAATTTAAAGCACAGGCTACTACTGAAATAGGGCGTTACTGTTTCAGCGATCTATTGTGAGCGCCTGCCTGTAGCTGGCGCTGTTGTGAAGAACCCATGTGGTTTAGCTATTTATAGCCCTGGTAAGGACACACATGGTCCATTATCCATGAGGTCTATGTGATGTACCTCACACATTAATATGTTGATATGATGCTGGATTTATAAATCACATTGTAGTAGAATTTTCCATATTTTAAATTTACTTTGAATTGGTAAGAAAGTGTTTGGCTGGAACTGAAAACAATCCTTGAAAAAATTATGGGTGGAATACTTTTTCAAACATCTTGTATGATATACACTAACAAGCAATGATCTCTGTTCTTTCAGTTCGAAGAAATGGCGAGAGCAGGAATGGTGACTGTGGTAACTGTGGTGGTTGGTGGCCAGCAGCTTGAGCTGAGTGGGAGGGGATCTGTGGTGGTGGATGGTATACAAGTCCGCCTTCCTTACCTGTCACCCACACTGACACTCTACTCTCATGGTGACTATGTTGTTGTCAACACCAATGTTGGCTTACAGGTACAACCACTGGAAACTTCAACTTTTGGGGATTACAGTTATCCATAATCATTTAACAAAATATTTAAACAAAAATCTATTTTTTTTAAAGGAAGGACATTTTTATGTATGGTAAAGTCTGAAATATAAAGTATTCAAAGATCTCTCAATTTGACTCGTATTTCTCAGATATGTCATGCATATGTTGCACAGATTACGGTGATGTGTGTTGGTGAACCAACAGGTGGTGTGGGGAGTGGGAGGCCAGGTGGAGGTGGTGGTGGGGGGCGAGCATGCAGGCGTCACCTGCGGCCTCTGCGGCAACTTCAACAACTTGCCCCAGGATGACCTCATGCTGCCATCGGCTCAACTCTCATATGTAAGAGTCATTACCTTCTTGAACGTTCTTGGTGTCTCGTAGCCAACCAACATTATTTAATATCTAAAAGAAGTACATATTCGGTTAGTCAGGCTGAGAACCGATCCATCTAGTTAGTAATTGAATGGGTGGCCACAAGAAGCTTAAGGGAGGGAATAATGGCATTACATATTCAGGCTTGTTTTCTTGATAAAACAAAGCTCATTAAAGGGAAAATTAGGATTATGGACTTGCCTGAAACGCTATGCGTGCTAGTGGCTGTACAAGAATGTAAGAACTCTTGTGTATATATATAAATAAAAAAAGTATTTGAATACGTTGGGTGAGTGGTTACTATAGTGGTGGAAGGTGGAGACTGGCAGTGGGTGCAGGTGGTTGGAGGAGGGCGAGTGGCATTATTAGTGTGAATTTGTGAAAAAGTAAACTTGGAAACGTAATGATGCATGTTTTAGACAAGCTTAAGTAACAAGAAAAGTACCAAACTCAGTTATTTTACTTTTGACTTAAAATGCGAGTGAGGACGGGAGAAATGACCTTGTGTTCCTCCAGAGTGTGGAGGAGTTCTTGGCCGGGTGGAGAACTGGTGAAGACTGTGGGGCTCCGCCTTCCTCCCAACACTGCTCTTCGTCTGGTCCATCTCTCTCAGGCAAAGACAGTGACCTCGCTCACCATCTCTGCTCCATCTTGAAGGTATGTGGAGTAAACTACTACTACTTTATCTTACTTCAATGTAATGGAACTATATATATACATCAATGCTTGACGATATTCCAACCTGGAGAATGATATAAATAAACATGGCCTTATGTCTGCATACACGAGTCACTTCTCTGCTCTTAAGTTTGCAAAGCAATTGTGATTAATAGTACAAGCTAAGAACAAAAACAAATGTGTACTGTATTGTTTACTTTAATACTTACATCAAAGCAACTCCATTATGGAAATTTGTTTTGCTAAAGGAAAATGTTGAACACATTTTTAAATACGGTCCATTTCGGGGAACTATGTTAAAAATGTTATTAATCCGCTCTGTGGTGTCATACATCTCTGACCTTCCTGGTGGCAGGGTCCTGGCTTCCGTGAGTGTCATCGCCTGGTGCCACCTGACCCATACATGAGTGCCTGCAGGAGGGAGGTGTGCCAGTGCCCTGGAGACATAGCTGCCTGTCTCTGCGCCACGCTCAACCTCTACTCCACCCTCTGTACCAGAGCTGGCCTCGTCCTGGACTGGCGGACCCCTCTCCTCTGTGGCGAGTTCTGTGTCTGATTATTATATTGTGCTCAATCCTATATACAGTGAATCCTCAGAGTAGTGTTGTACTGTGAACAGTCCTATATTGTGCTGAAATGAGTCCTGTCCTGTTCCGAATCAGCGAGGTCTAAATACCGCAAGTCTTGTGTTGTGATAAGCACTGAATACATGTAGTTAGCGTTACAACTCCACATAATTCCTGCAGTGTGTGTGTGTGTGTGTGTGTGTGTTTGCAGGACCTGGAGGCTGGCAAGTTATGTAGATGGCACAGTGATTCATGGCAGCGATGGGAGGGGCCAGATGAATATACGCGCGGTGGGTTTGGTGTGTGGGCTTCATGGGTGTTGGGGTTGTTTGTTGGGGTGTGTGGGGGGTGCGGAGTTGTCGGATGCGTGTGCGCGCGCGCACACATGTACTCACCTAGTTGTATCTGCGGGGAACGCATTTCGGCTCTCGGATTTCGACTCCTAATCAACTCTGTCATGTTACTTTAAGCTGTTAATGGAATTTGCCTCCACCACATCACTTTTTAATGCATTCCATTTGTTAATAGTGTGTGTGTGTGTGTGTCAGTGTCTTAGTTTCCATGTATTTTCCTTTATTCGTGTACCACCCATGCTAGTCTGTCCTTGGCTGTATGTAGTACTCTTGTCTCCTTTGTTCTCTCAGTGAAATAGGGTTAAACGCTTGCAGTCTTTCCTCGTAACTCATGCCTCTCAGCTCTGAGATTATTCTGGTGGCACATCTCTGAAATTTCTCCAGCATTGTTTTCTGTTTAACCAGACTCCATGATGGTGCCACATATTCAAGAATTTCTTCAGAATCTCTTCAAATTCTTATAGGCAATTCTTATATTAGCAAACGTTCCGTATAAAGTTCGTGAGAGTTTCTCGATGTGGGCTTCTAGTGACAGGTTAGGCATAATATCAACCTCCAGTATTTTTCACCTTTCAGATTTCAGGAGGATTTCTTAAGCAATATGATTCTGTGTGTCCAGCCTCCTGTACCCATATCCATCTTTATTACTTTGCACTGGCTTGAGTTGAACTCTTGTAATCACTTACGGGACTTCACTTTTGTCCAGGTCATCTCGTAGTCTCTTTCAGTCTTCCATCGTATATATTCTCGTCATAATTTTTGCAACATCAGGAAACATTGAGAAGGAATCTATTCGCTCTGGTAGGTTGTTCACATAGATTAAGTATAGGATTAGTACCAGTACTGATCTTTGTGGGATAACACTGGTAACATCCCGCTACTCTGACGTCTCTGCTCTCTGTGTTCTACTGAGGAAGACAATAATAGCAGTAAATAGGTACCTGGACGTTAGACAGCTGCTACGGGCTGCTTCCTGGGTGTTTGTGTGTGTGGGGGGGGGGGGGGTGGAAGACACATACTTCCCATCCTCCAAACAAAGACCCAAAAAGTGATTCCATGCACCCGCCAAACCCCCTGTTTATGAATGAAAAACGGTTTACACACGACTCTCAACTTCATTCGAACACCCCCTCCCCGCTCAGCTCGTTGTCGCCGTGTGGGGGCTTAGTGGGCGGCTGCCGGAGTGTGATGCTCCTTGGGACAGTCCTCTGTCCTTTTTTTTTTTTTTTTTTCTAGCCTTGTGCTCCTGCTGCCGTCCTCTCCAATTCTGCTGGGCATCTTTTCCTTTTCCTTCCGTTTCGTTTTTCTCCCCCCTCTTCTCCTATCTGCTTGCCGTTTCCTACCGACCTTTTGCTCGTTCTGGTTCTTCCCTTGGACTTCTTCTATTTTGACGCCCGGGTGCTTGAGGAGGCATACTCATGCACCCGTAGAACTGCAGTACCCGACGTCGAGAGCGAGGGGAACCTTTTATTGTCAATCCCCACTTCGTCACTGAACCCGATCTCGACGGACTGTCGGTTTCTTAAGGTGGCGTTTGTGGGGCGTATACTCGCGACGCACCCCTAGGAGGCCCCGACAAGATCGGCGATAGCTTCTTGTTGGGTGTCCTGCCTCTAATTGTGGCTCCATGGTGGGTGTGGGGGCACATTCGTGAGTGAATTCTTTCTTTCGTCAAGATGATTACCCCTGCTTCGGCTTCTTCTGGTTTACCTTCTCAGGCTCGTGGGGTGGGCGACCAAGCCCCCGAGTCGGTCCGTATTGGAAGACCGGGCTCTGTAGCCTCCGCTGCATTGGGCCCTGACCTTGCTCCTCCTTTGGCCTCTCTGACTCCTTCCTCTGGCTCCCCTCCCTCCTCTGTGGTTGGGTCGAGCCCCAAGCCCCCAGTGGTGACTACCTCGTCCCCTGGCGCGGCTCCTTCTCTAGTTGTAACTACTGCGCCTTTTAACCCCTCTCTCTCTGGGGGTTCTCACCGCCGTCCTCGTCACGGCCGCCCTCGCTCGTTTCCTTCCAGTTCTGCTACCTATCAAGCCTTGTTTGGTCCCGCTTCGTGAGCCAAATATTTTGATCTCCTCCCTCTTGATTCTGCGCCTCCTGACGATTTCTCCCTCCATCGACATCTCATTGATTCCGTGGATGCCTCCATTACTTTCAACCCCACTCGTCTCGGTACACGTGTCGTTGCTGCTCCTTCTCAGGATGCTGCTTCCCGCTTGGCTGCCTTATCCTGCCTTGGCGAGACCCCCGTTCGGGTCTCGAAGAACGTTCAGTTGAATGCCAGTGTTGGCACTATTTTGCTCCCGCCCCATGTTGCGACCGGTGTTCGGGACCTGCGCGACTGCCACGACGATATTCGACATATCCTCGCTGCCCAGGGCCACTCTATTCTCCAGGTGGACACGTTTACTCGTCCCCCTCGTGGTAGTCGCCGTCAACCCCTCCGGGTTGTGAAGATTACCTTTGATGGTAGGACCCTTCCACCCTCTGTCATTCTTGCTGGTGCCAGGTGCTCTGTCCAGGAGTACATTCCTTCTCCTCGGCTCTGCAACAAGTGCTGGAGGTTTGGGCATGGTGCCCTCCGCTGCTCCGGGACTGTCTCTCTCTGTCCTTTGTGTGGTGGCGAAGGTCACTCTAAGTCGGAGTGCGCTTCTCCCCAGGCTCGTTGCCTCAACTGCGGTGAGGCCCATCCTACCTTCTCCCGTGCGTGTGTCCATTACAAGCTTGAGGCAGCCGTCCTCAACTTGAAGCACCGGGAGCGTTTATCTTTTCCTGAGGCGAGGCGCCAGGTTCGCCGGCTCCCGCCTTATGCTAATATCTCTTATGCTCGCGTGTCGCGCTCTTCCTCTCCTCGTCCTTCCCGCCTTCCTCAGACTCACAACCGTTTCCGGGCCTTGGACCCTGATGCGCCCACTGCCCCCTCCTCTGTCCCTTTGGGTTCTCTCCCGAAGGATCCTCCTCCTGGTCCTCTGTCTGGGGTTCCCCTTCCTTCTACCCGGTCTGTCGTGTCTTCTGTGTCTTCTTCCTCGTCCCCCTCCGATCCTCCTTCCCATCCTCTTCCTCCATCTATCGGCTCTCCCCGCCGCCTGTCGGTGCGGGCGGATGTCCATCGCTCTCCTAACGGCCGTCGTGTGTGCTCTCGTTCGGCTTCTCCTGTTGAGACACTGGAATCCGTTGCCCGGTACGTAGTTGCTGGGACACCGGTCTCTTTAAGTCAGAAGCGTAAGCCTGGCTCCTCTCCTTGCTCTTCCCCTGCGGGTAAGAAGGCTTCGCTTTCTTCCTCAGCTCCTCCTCCTGGCTCTGTTGCTCCTTCCCCTCCCGTTTCAGTGCTTGTGCCCCCTGTTCCTGCTATGGAGGTTTCTTTGGCCCCTGCTTCCCTTTCGGTTGCTGCTCTTGCTGGGGTGCGCTCCTCTCTTTCTACTCCCCCTCTTCCTGCTGCTGTCCTTGACTGCTCCTCTCCGTTGTCTCCTCCTCCTCCTCCGGACCATGCCCGCCCACCTCTGATCTGTTCTCCCGTTTCCTTCCCTCCGTCTTTGCTCAGTTTACCCATGCCCCCTAACCCTGACTTTGCTGACCCTGATCCCGACCCTGATATTCTTTAACGTGCTCTGTTGCTCTTTCGCCTTTGTTTCTTCCTTGTTCTCTGTTTTTGTCCTTTCTCTTCTCGTCGTTGTCCATTCTTCAATGGAACGTTCGAGGTTATTACGCCAATTTCCTCGAACTCCAACTTCTGGTTTCGCGGTTTTCGCCCCTTTGTGTCTGTCTCCAGGAGCCAATGCTTGGTGCTTGTCCTGGTCGTTTTCGTGGCTATTCCTTTCTCTCCCCTCCCCCAGCCATTGCTGGGGCTTCTAATTCTTCTGCTCTCTTGATTCGGGCTGATGTTCCCTTTGTTCCTTTACTTTTTCCTTCGCCTCTCCATTGTTCTGCTGCTCGTATCTTTGTGGGGAAATGGTACACAGTTTGTTCCATTTATCTCCCCCCGAGTGTCCCGCTCTCTCTTCCTGATTTGAATCACCTCCTAGACTCCTTGCCGGAGCCTGTGCTCCTGCTGGGTGACTTCAATTGTCGTCATTCTCTTTAAGGTGACGTTCTGACGAATACCCGGGGTCGCCTCCATGAGCCGTTTCTCCTCTCTTCTTCCCTGTCTCTTCTGAATTCTGGTGAGCCCACTCATTTGGACTCTCGAACTCGCACCCTTTCTTGTCTTGATCTTTCTCTCTGCTCTTCTTCTCTTTACTTAGATTTCACGTGGCAGGTTCTTGATGACCTCCATGGAAGTGATCATTTCCCCATCCTTGTTTCCTTTTTCTCTTTTCGCCCTTCCCTCTCTTTCCCTAGGTGGCAGTTTGCTAAGGCGGACTGGACCCTATTTTCCCTCAGTGCTACTCTCTCTGACCTCTCCCTTCTGCCCCTCTCTCGCGCTCTCCTCCTTTTTCATGACACTGTCTTCGACGCTGCCCTCCGCTCTATTCCTCGCTCTTCCTCTCGGGGTCCACGGAAGTGCGTTCCCTGGTGGAATGCGGACTGTGCTCGGGCTGTCCGCTGTAAGCGTGCAGCCTGGAAGAAGCACCGCCGTAGGCAGACGACCGATTCTTTTCTTTTCTTTCGGAAAGCGAGTGCGGTGGCCCGTAGGGCCATCCGTACGGCTAAACGTGAATGTTGGGCATCTTATGTCTCGACAATTACGTCCGAAACCCCTCTGGCCCAGATCTGGAAGCGTATCCGCAAGATAGCGGGTAAGTTCGTTCCCGATGTTTCACCGGTCCTTCACCTCCATGATACTCTTGTGGCGGACCCGTTGCAGGTCGC